TATTGCATGTCTAATGGGACCACGTTGCAGATGTCTCTTTTTAAATTCTGCTACTACGAGCAAAATCACCAAAAATTCCGATTATTTCGATAAACTGAAAGTTTAATCCGATTGATATTAAGATTTCACAATAGTTTATAGAATAAAAAATATTAACTTATAATAATTTTGTTTAGGTATGGGGCAAAATAATGAAAAAACTAAAAATACTAGTTTTGTCATGAAATTTGGTGCGTGAATGTAAATTACCAACCTGTATGATTGAATTTATTTTAGGTAGTCAAAATACAGGGGTGTCTTCATCTGAAATGCGACCGTAAACTAATAAAACAGTATACACAAAAAACTATAATACTATCGTTAAAGAAGAGTCAGATACTTATTAATAAAAACTTACCGATACTGACGATATTGATATGAATTAATGAAAACTTTTGAAAAAAATTGTGGCATATAATTTGCTGTAGACTATTTCAGAAAAGTGTAGAATACTAAAATGGGAAATTCCTTTTAGTCCTGCGATCAACTCGGGTGTCGGCCGTAGGCGTAAGTAAACTTTTTGCAATAAAATACTATGGTTTTTTGACATTTTTAACTACTATCCATCTTATGTGAGATATTGCCCATCATTATAACCAAGTATTGTAAGTATTTAGGAAGCACTACCTATCTCAGGAACTAGAAGAGATTGACCAAAAGTTAAATACAAAAGCTGCTTGGCTTAATTTGGACTTTTCATTTACTATATTTTCATGTATACAAGGTGACTCGTTTCACCGTGGACACTAGGAACTTTTTTATTTGAAATGAAACAGGATTTAGATAGACCTTTGAAAGAGGAGTTCAACGATGTATAAGAGTATAGGGTTTAAACGCAACGTTTCAGAATTATTTGCGTTTATATTCATGATTGGGTATTTTAGAGAAAGAAGTAGAAAAAATCATCTATCTAAGTTATTTTAATCTTGTTTCAAATTATCTTCGTGCATAATCAGTTTTCTGATAATTTACAATGCACGTGTTAAGAATTTGGCCAGAAACTCAGAGACCAAATACGTGCAATATCTAAATGAATGCGTTTTTTGTAAATGCAGTATTTCATTTAGAGACTGCTTACACTACATGTATTTCGCAAAATATTAGTAAATTTCGTTTATATTCCGTTTGTTATAATATTGTTCGATAATCCATAGATATGTGTAGATATTTTTACCGTTTGTAAGTTCCATTTTATTTTTCATTTGTTTTAAATAGTAATACTAATACTTCTAAAAATTCTTAATTAGATTGCATATATTTCTACATGGGTTTTTACATGCTTTGTAAATTTTTAGGAAAATAGGCCTCGTACTAAAGATGATGACCAATAATGTGGCAATGGTGATTTCTAGACTCTATCTAGACATAGCATAATATGCGAGGGTTTGCATTTGAGATAAATGAGGAAATTGATGATGCACGAAATATTGCAACACTGTAAGATTTTTTTCATTTAAAAATGCAAGCTGCTGCTAAGCTGTACTAATCACAGTACCATAATATGAGTAATAAAATGGCGACATGGCAAGTGGGTGAAAAAGTTATTATTGTAAATGTATATGATTTCAAAAAATGCGATTACCCGAATTTTACTGTACAAGAAACTGTCTACCGATATTTCTGAATTCGAACATTCGGTTTTTTTTTTAATTATTGGACGCGACAAAGACAGTTCATTTAAAAAGAGGAGAAAGTGTGAGATCTTGACTACTTATCGATCGAATGGTCGACCCGTTAAATATAACATTTGCTCAGATTACAAAGAATATTATGACTTTTTATTTTATTTAATTTCAGTATAATGGATTTTTTGTATAAAATTTAATAAAAAAAATATCTAAGGTACCTAAGTACATAAGGCCTATTTTTTGTTTGGCTAAAATAGAATCCTCGCTTTTTTACGAGTATCTTACCGTGACGGGATAATAATAAACAAAATCTGTGAATTGATCCATCGTTAAAAAGAAAGAACTTTGAAATTAATTTAATTTAATTAAAATTAATTCATGCCAAACAATGAAACTGACTGAAGTATTTAATGGGTCACTGTGTAGTCCTTTTCATAACTAATACACATACACATATCTCGACAAATGAATTTCTGATAGCTTTTTGATAATCTTTTCAAAACTAAAACATAATTTTTAGCATTTTGTGAAAAATTATTAACCTGATTAACATTAACAATTAACTAATTAATTAAATGGTTAAATAAAAAGTCCTGTACACAGTTCAGTATATTTTTTGGTTAAATATTTCTTACTACAGGAACCGAACGTGTCGGTCGAGTCACTATTTTGTCGCTCGAGAATTGACAAATATTTACGCGAATTGTTTGATCTGCATATTTCGAATGTTTGCACGAACATTTATTACTATCAAACAGGCATGTCACTCGAGCAAAATGTACCCATGTTATTTCCAGGTCGGGGAAAACGTATGCGTCTGAACGGCGCGATCTGGCAACGCTGCATTACACAATGGATGTGAGAGGATTATTCTGAGGGCGTTACTTCGAAACTTCTTTTGGCTATGTTATCAGCTAAGCTTTTCCAAAGTTACCGTTTTTAGTACCAAATACGGTAGCTTTTCTATGAAAAATAGGCGTGTAAAATGATATAGGGCGCTACTCAAAAATTACTTTTAGTTAAGCCCAGGTGCGGCACTGTTTCCACATATTTGATACTCAGTATCAAAGATTTAAATTGAGGGAGTTTGCAAATGGTCAAAAAGTCTATTGCCTCCCTGCAGAGGTATAGAGTTTCATATCTCTGATTAGCCTCGGTGCAGCTCGTTGCCTCTGGTCTCGTTATCGAGAGCAAATGAAATCGCACTGTTGATAGGCTCTCATATTTGCATAGCACGAGTGTGCCTATTTCCTCCTCCTCTTGACAAAATCTGCATATTTTCTTTTACTCCCATTAGGCTTAGATGCCCGCAATTGCCCGTCAGTAAACCTAAAATTATTCTTACGACCATTTGATGTTTATGTAAGGTGTTATTGAAATGACTAGACCAAAAAATATGGAAATGGTGGTATATCTCGAGAATTAATTGATCAAAAAACAAAAAAATGCCTTTAAATAATGAACAAAACAGTTTAATAACCCCAAAACACTGGTGGAGAGTAAGGAACAACTTTGAATTTTTTAAATGGACTCTTTTGTTACGTTTGAAATTGTTGGACTATATTTTCGTCGGTTCAAAAGCACTAACATTATATTACAACATAAAAATTTTATTCTCCTTATTCCGGTTTAAACAATATTAACAAAAACGTGATTTTGTTACTCCCTTCTGGTCGTCGCGGCAAACTAACCGAGTATATTGGGTTGCATACCGAGCCACGGTTTATTGTATTTTTCAAGAAATACATGGGTCAATGTTATGAATCCCACTTTTGTGTTATCATATCAAGTGTCTAAAGAAGTTTCCGTACATTTTTTGGAGATTTTTGCAAATCGTATGACGTGTCCATCAGAACTGATGTCATAATACCATCAGTGCTAACAGCCCATAACCCGTGACTAAAGCTCAAGTTAACTCGTGAGAGTATTTAAACACTGTGCACTCCTGATGAATGCATGATGGGGTATATTAGAGTACAGAGTAGAAAAATAAGTTTAAACGAACGAATTATAACAATAAAGTCCGTGTATTTTTTGACAAACACGATAAATCGTTGCAATTTTTGCAGTACCATCTACTTAAAATGTAAAAGACAACTTTCGACAAAACTTGACGCTTTTCTGGTATAGAAGCCGAATCTGTTATAAAAAATGTAGGTGTAATTCTTGAGATATTCCACCGCGTTCACACTTTTTGAACACCTCAATAAATATTATATATCATTGTGTATTTTTTCAGATTTGCCATAAAAGAAAATTACACATCTAAAATTTTAAGTTTTTTTTTTCAGAAAATACAAATTCATACTAATGTTTTCTTTTTTTTTTAATGGATTATTTACTAAGGAAACTGTGATTTTTTACAAAGAGCTCTTGCATTGCATTATTGAAGGGGCGTGTGTCGCCAAAGGTTCATACATATTCCAGTAGACAGTGTTCTACTGGATGATGGTGGTGGAACCGAATTGCAATGTTCCTGATAGCTGATACTTTCGTAGGTTTGTCAAATGATATTACGTTGCAAGTTGCTAGTAAGTTGATTTTGGTTTCCTAGTAAAAGCTTATGCATATTGGTTAATGATAATAGTAACAATAACGAAAAATTGCATAGCGTTTTTTATTTTTCGTGGTTAGTAAAGATGAACGAGTGAAGGTAAAGCTTTCGAGGCCTAAATAACCACCAGTTGCCCGAGGACGTGCACTAGTCATTATGACCGTTTCGGCGCTCTTAGCATATTTCGGGTTGGGTGTTATTTGTTATGGATTGTTTTTTTTTTTGACTCGTATTATTTATCGGCCTAGATTAAACAGTTATAATTCTATCATTCGTAATATTCTGGACCTAGGGGAACCGAAGTAAACGGAAGTTTATTTTTGATTAGCTATTTTATGGTTGATGATTAGATTATTAATTTATTTTAAGCACTGTGTTGTGCATTCTTTGAATATGTCCTAGAAGATTAATCCTATTTCGCCTCGTTTGCCATCAGCCCCCGCTCCACCGGGGTACTATTTTTTTATTATTATTTGTTTTACACACACACACACACCCACACACACACACACACACACACACACACACACACACACACACACACACACACACACACACACACACACACACACACACAAACACACACACACACAAACACACACACACACACACACACACACACACAAACACACACACACACACACACACACACACAAACACACACACACACACACACACACACACACACAATAGTTACAGTATTTAAAAGCAAGTACAAGGCATTAGTTTAATGAGTTATTAATGACACAAATTAGCAAGTCTGTCAAAATGGATTATAATACCCCCAAAAATGAAATTTTTCTTTTATTTAATGTTCGATTTCTTACCATTAGCATGGAATTCAATAACTTCACGTAAGGGGCAGTGCTCCCTGCGAGTGCCATATTTGCGATTTTTAATCATTTGCTGTTTAGCGAATGATGAAAAGTTGAGTTTACGTGCAACTGTGAGTGACGCTTCAAAACTGAGTTGTGTCAGTATAAAAAACATTTTTAACATCAAGAAAAGAGCGGAACAGATCAATGGCGAATTGGGAAATGCTACTCCAAGAAAAAAGCGGACAAGTCAGTGACATTCTCGCGATTATACATATGATGGTTTTAAGAGTCCACTCAGACAACTTTAATTGCAATTTACTTCAATTATTCGGGGGATAAAGATTTGCCAAGTTTTTCTCTATTTATTATTAGGATTAGTAATTTTTTCAATTCCAGTACTTGTTGGAATAGAGAAAAAAATTAACAATTTATTTATTACTTCTCGTATTACGTAACAATATTAAAAAATAGAGAATATATGTAAATTTAAATTGCATAATGACTTCTCGGTCTTAGAACCGATTTAACTTTGGGCGAACCTGGGGGTGAGTAGTCTGGATCTGGGATGTAAGGTGGCGCGACGTTGAAAGGTGGACTTCTCCGATCAGCCTGACGTCCTATTTTGGCCGTCTTGATTTGCGGCGCCTTCCATTGCTGAGGCGACCTAAAGTTATTTGGACCTGAAATCGCTATGACTAATAAGAAATATTATTTCGAGATATAAGATGAGAGGTGCTGCCATAAGTGTGAAAGAAAATTAATAGCTCGAATGAACTATACAGTAAACGGCTAAAATATGCATTGTATTTCAAGAAAAATGCTCGCACACATCCATAACAATTTTTTCTTACTCATTTTTTAAAGTAAACAGAAAATATACAGGGTGGGTCAAAAAGTTCCAAATACCTGTTTCAATTGGTCCCACAACTTTGTTATTCAAAATGGCTGCTCAAATGTTCATTTTTTGTGGATGTGGTGTATGATTTTCTCTTATCCATCGGGGATTATTGGTAGTGATGATTGTTTTCTTCTTTTTTGTCTCCAATCCCAAATTAAAATTTCAATTCTATGGGTTTCATTTAGACGAGCAATGTTCACTTTCTTTACTGACAGAAATGTGATTGTAATAATTTAAGAGCTTTACTGTTACCAACCACTGGCCTGTTCATTTTCAAAAAAGTAAGAGAAAGTTACAGGCTATGCTACATGAATTACCCGTTAAATTTGAATAAGAATTCGACAATGGGGTTTAAAAAATGTTGTTCCACATAAAAAAGGGGACTCGCTTTCGCAGTCTTCTTTTGAACCCTCTCTGTATATTTTCTGTTTACTGCAAAAAAGAAGCAAGAAAACTTTGTATTGAACATATGCGAGCATTTTTCTAAAAATCCAATACCTAATTTTGAAATGAATTTTTCCATATTTTAGCCGGTTGCTGTTGCACCTGACTGCTTTTTGATATTTAAAAAATGTCAAATAATATATTTATCTTGCCCTACAACAATTCCGTTTTGTTTTTGCACATTTTTTCTGCTCTCTTTGGTCTTTGAGTTTCTATAGGACTTTTCCAGATAGCACATTATCCAAGAAATCCTCTTCATTTTTGTACAACTTCAAACCCAAATTTGAAGGTTTCTAAGATCATAATTTTGTTGGATTATTTGGAATGCCAGGCGGCAAAATTTTCAAATTAAAGTCAAACGGATATAGTCACAATCTGTTACATTATGGTGGGTTTGAATTGATCTCTTTGTATTTTATTTATAATTATTTTCGAAAACAGGTATCATGTGACGTCACCGTCTAGCACGAAAATTAGTATATTATTTCTTAAGAGAACCTTTTCGAATTTCAAAAGAATTGTATGTGATGAGATACTGCACAAATTGTGGAAATTGGAATCCCGGGCATCCATTGGACTGCTTGTTGGTTGAGAACGGGCGGTTCGTTGAATTTCCAATGGTTTAGAGTGTGCTATTTGAGTTATGTAAATTTTGTTAAAGTGTTGCTTGGTCAAATCAAAATACGTTTTTGTCTGTTTTCTGTTCTTCATAATAGACATCTGGGAAACATTTGAAGGCTCATAATATTCGAACGGTCGGAACTACCGGCTTCAAATTTTCCTCCGTACTAGTACTAGCCGATACGCAGCGGTCCGCAATAAAAATCGGCCGAAATTTCGAGCTACCGAGTTGAAATTTGGCAAGAATTTAGAGTTCCTCCCCCTTCCCATATGAAACTGAACGGGATCGGAAGTTCCAAAGTATTTTTTTTTTAATTTTGAAAATTTTTTTTCGGGACAGAAAAAAAATTCTCGAAAAGAGTATGGTCTACCGAAAACGGAGCCGTTTGGTGTGATTGCTCTCATACATCGTCTTGGCAGCTTTAATTTTTGCATTTAGCCTTTTCGTCTATAACGTCTAAATTAAGTTTTCATCAAAATTGTCACGCCACTTGTATATCGTAGCTCAGCTGTTCAATTCAATTTAAAAGTTTAGCACAAATGTAATAAACACTATTAACTCAAATTATGGATGCTTCTTTCATAAAATTTTGCATGTAAACCGAAAAAAATCGTATAGTGCTTTAATGTAGTTAAAAATAAATGCTTCTAAATTATGTACTTAGAAAATACAATAATTACAAACTGGTTAGTTTTCCTTCTGTCAAAAGTAAATGTGTTGCGGGTTACAAATTAATGTAATTAAACGAAACAAACTTTACTAAATAGCTCAAACCGTACTGATTGGGGGCGCTCGCGGCTATCGATCTACATTTCGTGTACTTTTAGTTTAAACAATTTTTGATTTTTGTACTGTCTTCTATTTCAAATGGTTTTATTTTATGAAGTAACAGTTTTTGGCCACATTGCATTGTGACAATAAAAATATACATACCTTAATTGCGACGATTCGTTTTTATTGAGCTACTGAAAAAGGCAACTCTACACCTAAAGAAAGAAACTACATGGTCCTTCGAAGCCTAGCGCACACCCCAACAAAAAGAATTGTTTTCTTAACCAAGAAATAATTAGAAGAAATAAATGGCGAATATTTCGAGCAATGGTTTGAAGAGTTGCTAATTCCCAATTTACCTAACAATGGACAAAAAATGCTGTTGTTTTGGACAACGCTTCCTATCATTCATGTAAATTTATGCATCCAGTGACCTCATGGACAAAACCCGAAATTCAAAATTGGTTGCTCGAAAAAATTATTTTCCTTGACAACGAGTATGACAAATATAAAAATGAAGAAATTGCTGCGAAATACGGGATAAATGTTTTGGGCCTAACACTGTAATCTTAACTCTATCGAGATGGTATGGAATCAAGTAAAGCGATATGTGGTAATGAACAGCTCCGATTTCAACATGTTTGTTCGTTAAGAGATGAAGCATTTCAACATGTTACTAAACAAAATTGAATTATGTTGAAGATGTCACAGAAAAAAGTGAAAAGGAAATGTGGTCCGCCTAGAATCTCCAAGAAAACGTGGATGAACTTATTAATAGGACGCCATTTTTAGAAAACGAACCTTATACTAACATCACCTAACACTGACAGAGACAGTGACAATTCCAGTTTGTCCCATCACCTAACAACAAAATGATTTTTTTTGCTGGATGCAAAAATAGTTATGATCTAAACTTCTTGCCCAAGTAATAAAAATAAAAAAATATTTACCGAAACTAAACTGGCTCGTATCGAGTGAGTTCCTATAGTTATTTTTCCTGGTGTCGCCAATGTTTAATTTATGGAAAGATTCGCTTTTCATGTATATCGGTTCGGCGTTGTCGTTCACATAACCCTTGTTAGTAAATTCAAAGTTGTTAGCGTTGCCTTCATCATAAAGGGAGTTCTGCAAGTCCCAAGGTGGACGGGGACTGAAAAATAATACAGCAATCGTTATAATATAGACTAATAAAAGTTAATGTTTACCTAGTGGTATATGCATCGATTATGGATAAGTCAGGCCTGGAATTCTATAAAATGATTTCAATCAAGAATTCTAATATTTGAAATACCCATTTACCTTTCTTAATAAATTGAAACAATATTTTGCCAAAACTATAGCAAATATCACGTTTATGATCCATAAGACGTATCCGCGAGCTGCCAGCGTCATGACAATACCGTATGTAACTTGTAACTGCAGGGAACAAGCTTTAACGCTTCCAGGATTCACGAATTAATCTCTGATCTTACCAAAATAATTGAGGACTGGACATCATCTGGAAGTTTGTGATAATCATGAGCAAATAAACTCGTTAGCACAAAATCCAAAACCGATAGAATGCCAATTGTAGAGACCCATAATGCCAGTAACCGTATCTGCTGATTCTGGGCTTTGTTTCTTGCGAAAGCTAAAAAGTGAAATAGGGTGTTGAAAAATGCAGAATATTAATATGTCACCGCTCTGGGTGGTTGCATTATCGCTCTTTAGCTGTGCTTAAATGTACCGTAGGTTCAATTTATTTTGATTACATTTTAATTAGCTGCACATTTTTGGCTTTCAGAAAATGTAGGGTTAGTAGCCAAGTTTTTTCCAACTGACGTATAACACATATAATCATATTTTTTTAAATGGAACATCCAGAATATATTATATGTGTTTAATAGAATATCTTATTACGATTACATTTATATTATAGTCCGCTCTTTTTTGACAAATCGGCAAAAATAGGAAATTTTGATATAATTTCAAAGAGTGCCCCGACTGAGAAATAAAAATATTTTTAGTGTTTTCGTTCTACTTTAATTTATAAATAATAGTCACGGCACTGTTTGAAATTATATAAAAATTTCCAATTTTTGCCGATTTGCTAAAAACGAGTGAGCTAAAATATAAAGTGTGTTACATCATTGTAATCGGAACAAGATATATTCTATGAAACACATATATTATGTTTCATTTAAAAAAAAATTGATGTAAGCTTATATGTCAGAAGATGGATAGTGTTTTTTTTTATTATTTTCTACTAACCCTACATTTTGTTTTCTTTTTTGTTTACATTGATATCTCTAAAAACAAAAAAGTTACAGTCAATTAAAATAGTATCAAGAAAAATTGAACAAAGGTACACAAACTCAGACAGAGCTGCAAAACATAAATGTGCCTTCTCCCTCTTTTTTAAACAATCATCCGAAAAGTAATTCTTATCGTTTTTGGATAACACAATATACGATATTTGCTACAATTACGGCGGTGAACTTACCCCAGAGAATAATAGCGGAAACGCCTAGCAAGATCAAACTGAGCACGAAGTACAGGTACATAAAAATGTTGAATACTTTGGAAGTTACAATGAACGAACTCCCATCATTGGATTCGTCATCTTTCACCAAAAAAAAGTATAAATACGTACGTATTTTGTCAGCATCGTCAGCATCAATAACAACTTTTATGACTTTTTCGTAAATTAAAATTGAAACCAGTGATAGGATGCTCCATGCCAGTCCCTGCACCTAAAACATTTTACCAATAAATTAACCAATTTATAAAAGAGGTGAAGCTTAATTCAAAAAATTACTATTCCGCGAACGATTAAGTCAAGGTAACTATAACATTTTTTCACCGGAATTACAGACAAAAATCTAATGAAATATTAGAGAGTTTAAGTAATGTGCCGATCTGTTTAACATAATTGGGGTTTTGGTTGGTTTAATAACATTATAACTTTAACAACAGATTGTTTTATTAGTGGTTTAGTTAAAAGATTCATCTTTTCACATTGTCCATTTTTGTTTAATTTGTGATTTTTCATATTTCTTATCAAAGGAAATTTATTGCAGTTTGTTAGATAATTATTTTTTTCTCATCTAGTTAGTTTTGCAATATACTCTTGCACTTCTAAGGTTTAAAGCTATTGTACAGCTAGATGTGATTATGATAAGGATGATTATACAGGGTCTTCTACCAAACACACTTTTTAGGGAGTGTTTGTACAGGTTGCTTTTATCGCAATTTAGTATTTATGAAATTGTATTTTTTCTTGTTGTACAAATAAAGTAAATTATAATTACTATTACTATTACTATTAGTATTCTTTTGTCCTAATATTCGAACTTTCGATCAAAATTAAAATTCAAATTCAAATCAAATGCCGTCCATTTGTCTTCCTCCGACGATTTAATAAGTTATCGATGTAATATTAAAAACAAAGTGTAAAACTTATTTGAAATTGAGGATGTCAGGGTCATTTGCAACACAAACACGAAATAGAGGATACACCAATAATAACACTGGATCATTGGCAACATTACAAGTTCGAAAGTCCCTCAAGCCGCAATATTAATTGAATAATTGAATTAATAACAAAGAGTACTGTGATAAGGAAGCCCAAGAATGTATGGTGTCTTAGAAATTGTTACTGCGTTGAATTACATTACATTACGTACATTTTGTTATCGGATAATTCTACAGTTTCAAAATATAGTGCAGTCCCTTTTAGATGAACTCAGAGATGCTGCGACAAGGAATCACTGATCTCTGCTCGCCCTAATGAGTTGGTGGATACCTTAGCTCACGCATTGAAATTGAGACTCTTTGTCTAACGAAATTGTCCAGAAACTTTTCCTGAGATCAATAACGGAAATATATTCAACATTACGCAAATTATTAAGAACTTATGGATATAGGGCAAGGGATGAGAATCATGCTTAGTTAATTCATTCAAAAATCGATCATGCAAACAAAAGCAATAATCACCATTTGACTTCTTAACAAGCACGGCAGGTGCCCTCCAAGGTCTCTGCGATTCCTAGATAACTCCTAACCTTAACATAAAATCTATTTCTGTGTGGCTTATTTTTGCCAGTGTCGGTTGATCTTCTTTATTCGACCTAACCTATCTATCTATTTGCTTAAAGGAATCGATAACTCGTTGACGCTTAGACTTTTGATGTGGAGAAAAGTCATCGTTTGAACAAAGTTGAAGAAAAGTTAAAATTCTTACTATAAATTGTATATTATGTTTTCAGAATTATTATAAATATTCCAGGAATTATTTTGAAAATCAACTACCAAGTTAAATTCTCTTGCAAAATCTGCACCACAATTAAACGAATGCTGCTTGCTTTCCGGCAGTATCTGACACCTAATTTTGTTTGAAACTTTTTAAACCATCTGCACCAATAGCTGAATTGGTAGCCCCAAAACCAAAACGTCCACTAATGTCATAACCAAGAATATTTGCACTAATATATGGCTTACTGTCAGAGAGTTTGGTTGAGAAATAAAGGTGAAGCCTCAGAAAGATTCAATAAAATTTCTAAAAGAATCTTGGAACAAGTGTTATTATTATTATAGATAAGGAGAAAACTTTTTTCTACAGGTCAGCTAATTTGAGTAAGTTCCTTCAATTTACCACACAGTTGCTGTAAGTATTCAGATAAAAGTTTCCTTTTTAAATATTACTTCGTGAACAGAAATAGATAAGAGGTGAAAAAGATTTTATAAATGAGAGATATAAACAATAACGGATTTATTCTTGGTCTCTTTCCTTTGTCTAATACTTTGTGAAACTTGGTCGTGAGAACGAATGGGTAAAAAATCTGTTGTCCAGTCGTTCACAGAGTTCCTAACATTAAACAACATGAAAAAATTCGTCATTAGGTACGTTAGGGGACTTCAGAATTGGAATTTAGAAACTTTCTCTAAGAAATAAAAAAGGTTTTTCGGTTCACCTCCGAATTTAACATTTCAAGTCTGCCTCAAACTTTAAACAAGTAGCACGCGACTCTTTTTTACTAATACTTCGTCTTCATCTCGCTCGGGTACAAGCAATCGTTTTATTCTACCAGGAACATGATTAATTCTGAAATGAATATTAGCATAACTACAGTCAGTAACTAAACTCAAAATCGATATAATATCTCTTATTGATGTTATACTTTTAGTAATAGCTTCTTCGACTCTAAAATTATAATCATAAAGTTTGAAACAAATTTGAGAGCTTGGATTACCTTTTTCTCTTTTTTTTTTAGTCAAAGTTTTGCTTTTTTTCGCAACAAAACTTTGGGTAACTACATTAAGAATAGCTAACTCGTGATCTAGTTGATAATCTAATAACTGATTTTGTTTAGAATTAAAAGCAATTGCAAAATCGACCAATGAATCCTTAATATAGAAAAAAAATGAGGTATATAGGTATAAGCTTGAAAAAAAAAAATAAACAAAGTGTCTACTGAACTAAGTTGCTATGAACGATGGACTTCTGAAACGTATTCTAAAGCACTCAGAAAGTGCTGAAGATAGGAAACAAACAACACGAAGACACTCAAAAAAACAGGGAAAGATTCTACTGAATGAATTAACGCCGTGCAGAGACCAATGGACTTCAGAAACATATACATAAGGAAGAAGAGAACTCTATTAGGTGAATGAATCAACCCCTATCAAACGTAATTTACTAATATCAGAGAGACTGGAAGTGCTTTCCACAGTAGCAGAAGATGACCCTATTCGGCTGAACATCCGAAGCTTTAGCGTCGAGAATCGCTAAGAGTCTCGTCGGGTCATCTTCCAAACTCCTCGTGGAAAGATTCTTACCGAACTGTCGATCAAATCAACAGCACCAACTTCAACAGTTTGCATTCTTTTATTGGCAACAATAATAAGTTCCACCATCAGTCGAGCTATCTCTTTGGCATTTTATCTTTTTTTCCGTAAGGTCAGCTACGAAGCATGAGAATTTACGAGTCTTGTCCGTGTTAAAAATTGGATTCGCCTCACGAGAGTACCAGCTATGCAATCCGGCATTCTGTACAAACAGGCTTTTTTTGTAGCACATTTAAAATGTTGGATATATTGGATACAAATTTCTCTCTTGCCGACGTTTCACTAATCAGCCTGTTGACTTCTTCAGAGCTTAATTGAAACTGTCTCGCATTTTACTCTGTATCTGTTTATATATTGTTTGAGGAATTGCAGAGGGTTCCTTTAGTTTCTCTAGCTGCTCCCCCCTCAAACAATATGTACAGCATGTACTGAGTAGAATCTGAACCAGTTTCAGTTAAGCTATGAACCAGTCAACAGGATTATTGGCGAGACGCCAGCAAATTCGATTTAACAACTACCGACCCAGGAGGAATCCAGAAGTTTTGTGAATAGCAAATTCTTACAATGTTGCTTTTAAAACTGAACCAGAAACTTGCAATTTTATAAGTTTAATACCGATAGTGTCTAAATAGAGTCGTGTGACTGAGACTAATGAGATAATGGTAACTTAAACATATATTGTAACACCACTTACAGCCACAACACAATGCATTTCATTGTTTATCAGATACCGGGTTACTAAAAAGTAGCGGAATGCCTAAACAACTCAAAAACTGTAAAATTTGGAAATATAAAAGTAAAATGCAGAATTCAAAAATGCAACAGCAAGATTTTGCGATGACATTTTTGAGTTGTGCATGTTCAAAAATCCCCAGGTATTGAATTATATTCTTTCACTTTGGCACTTTTGGAGATGTTTAAACCTTCCGCTACTTTTTACTAACCCTGTATATCATTGATCTAGAACGGACCAATACCACTACTTGAGGTATGGACAGGCCCTCCTGCCAGAACTTATACTATTTTTTTTCTTGATTTCTCAGGCTCGTAAAATTGGTTGCTCATTACTGCGGATTTCTTATATATCTTCATCAGGGTTGGTTAAATCGAGCAAATTTAAATACAAAAGTTTGCTGCATGCAATGATAATAGTTAGTATTATACAGTATTATACTTAATTTAAATAGAATATTTAATATTTGGGTTGAGACAATTTTATGGTATGTTGCCTAGGTAGGTAAAACTGTTGAAAGATTAATATTATTTATTAATTAGTTATGGTTGTCCCAGTACACGGATAAAGTCTGTTCATAGATATAAGAAAGTGACTGTGATACTGATACGAATTAAGGAAAGACCCGGGCAAGCTGTAAGAATGAACAGATCTGTACTTTGCTTAGAATTTAATTATTTGGGGTTTTGTAAGAAAGATACTAAAAAATATTTATTTATTTATGTATGTATCTATGTTTAAATCTAAAATAAAATTACAAATTATTTTTATTACCTACTTAAATTACTTAAAATTATTCACATAATATATCAGTATCACTATAGCTTTCATTGCCTGTTCTAATTATTATTTGTTCTATATTATTTGCAATATGGATATACGATTGTTCTGCTTTTTCTATATGTTTTTGTTGAATTTGCCCAACTTTGTGGAGGGATGTTAAAAACTTCCGTTTCTATAAGTTCGATGACATTGGAGTATTTCTTTTGTAGGTTCAAGCTTTGTAGAACCTCAATTAATTGCTTTTTGGTATAATCTTCGTGCAAATAAATATCGTTATTATACATGTAGTTTTGGATTGTTGCTTTTGTGTCACATAAGGAAGGGGTTTTAGTCAACTGTCTACTGTGATAACTTGCATTCGGAGGAATGTTTGAAACTAGTTTGTTTTTAAACCAACTTTCAAATAAATCAGCGGTGGTGTCTTCAAGCTAATCCAGAGAAGAATCTTTAATATTTTTCGCAGACAGAGAAAGTGCATTTGGAATCCAACCATCTTCAGAGCCAGCATGCAAAATAGTTATTCCTTTACCTCTTTTTGATGGCGCGTTTGTTTTACACTTATGAGTTGAGTCAACCCAACCCTTTTCCGGGGTATCATAAGTGTCGAACCAGGTTTCATCCAAGTAAATAATTGGCCTTTGTTGTTCTCTGTAAATCCTAATTTTTTCTAGATATTCCAGTCGCCATTTCCGAATTTTAAAAGATTCCATTAAAACTTGCCTTTTGTCAATTTTTTTTAAATCTAAAACCCATGTGTTGAATACACTTCCATAAGGTAGTTCTGCCACATTTAACACCGGTTTCTTTTTTTTTCAAGCCTCCTAATTAAAATATCTAATGTAGGCACGCTTTGTTCCTCGTATAACTGGTAAATTTTACGCCGTATTATATCTTGATCACTTTCATCTACACTCGAGAAAATGTCAGCATCGCTTCTTTTTTTCCTCGCTGAAATGGAATTATTCACAATTTTCCATACAGTTAAGGTTGGAATTTTCGTCAATGTGGCCGTTTCTTCTAAAGATGCTTGCTTGCTGGCACCACGTTCAATGAGAGTCAAATAAACATTGTTTATAACTTCCTTAGTCTCAATAGAATAGTGTTTTCTACATTTGAGCGGAGCATCTCCTGAGATACACTAGACTCGCTTATATTTTGCATAATTCGCACACGATTCAACACACGCTGTATTACACACGAAATAAGATGATTACTAATAAACTTAAACTAAGTAGTATTCCAAAGCAAAGAATATTAAACACAGGTATGTATAAAACTATTTTCTATTACGGACCACAATTTTACCTGAACTTAAATTCAGAAATTGTAGGTAATAATCTTGTTGCGTTGTATGTTAATGACCACCCTTGGATAATCCCATTGAAAAGCAATTGGTCACGTTCTTATGTCTATGAACAGACCATACCTCTATCCTTTTGTAAATTAATATCGAAAATATGTTGATCCAAAAATGTGAAACCAATTACATAATGTTCTAAGCTGTAAAACTTCGTTTTATCAAAAGAGGCAAACTGTATATCATTCTACTGTGTGATACGTAATTTAATTCTACATCGATATATACCTATTTCCCTTTTTATTGTTATTTCACGTTTTCTATAAAAAGTCAAACATACCCCGAAATTGTTTCTGAATAACAATGATTTTCACATATTTTTGCGTGCTATTGGTTTTATTGGATTTCTAGCAATTTGATTTTCCATTTCCTAAATATGAGATAACAATTGATAACTATTCAAAAGGCGAGGAAGAATAGGTACGAAACTATTCGGATCAAGTTGGGGAAACCTGAAGGAACCTACCATGATTATTTTCAGAAATCCAAAAATGAATTAATACACCGGGCGTACCATTTGAAATATGGAAATTAGGTGCTGTAAAAGACTAATGAGGTAGTGGTAATTATTTTCATTGCATAAAGCATAAAGCACATTCACATAAAATAAGTGGTTTGCACTATACATTTATCGAAAACTAGTTCGCTTGATATCCGATATAGGAAAGATAGTTTTTTTTTTTATTTTAGAAAACATAACAGCTAACATGTATGCCGTGAATATCTACAATCAATCTATATTAATCGCGCCTGTTATTCTCTTTACCCGTTTTAAAACGGCAAGATTAATCATCCCATAAGATTCATATTGTTTTACCCTGCATATCATATCGAGTGGTTTGAATGAATAATTTTTCTATTACTAGTCGGTCAAACCTCTCTATATCTTATATAGAAGCACATTGTTCATATTGCTATTCGGCAAGAGCTATATTCCAGAACTGCGTCCTAACGAGACTGAACCGATATAACAGGACAAATTGCGATACAATGGCTGGTACCTAAATTCAAGTTACAATATCGGAGGCATTCGTTCGTTATCAGCCATTGTATTCGTACTGGATGTTGCGGTTGAAAAATATAGAAAGACTTACGGCACCAATTAAGCCCGCGGTAATGACAAGGGGTGTCATCAAAGACTTCGGTTTCTGAATTTCGTCGCTCATGTTTTAATTCCGCACACTTACTTCATGACATTTTTCAAACAAACGGCTTTTGTAAGTATTCGCCCGCGATTGACTAATAAAAGTGGCGTAAAGATAAAAGCTTTCGAGAAAAAAAACAATGCGATGATAAAGGAAATACCTGCTGATAACGACGGATTTTATTAAAAGAACGCAGGTTTTATCGAACGAGATAACGATGGACTATTTTCACTGATGCGATTTTTAACCTGAGTTTGGAGATAAAATCTGGGCGCGACTTACGATTACGAAATTGCGATTTAATTGCTGAGAGCGCATCACGCATGCCTAAATTTTGTCGTATATATCGTAGAACTTAATCTGTTAATTTGAGGATTTTGGTACCGTAACGTGAATAATAGGGTGATTCATAATGAATTATATGGTGGGCAATGAAAGAAAGTGAACTCCTACGAATAGTAAAAGTTCGGGTTAAATTGAAAAAAATATATTAACAAACTAACGGGGATATTTTGACATTGGATTTCATTTAGATTACGCCCAATATGTGTTAAACCATCGAGTAATTTTGGTCGTATCCGATTGTAACGCCTAAATGCTACCCAAACAACTATTTACTTAATTGCATTCAATTGAATTACAAATTTTTCTGCATCTCTCCAAAGAAGTTGGAGCGTATAATTTTTTTGAAAATTACTGATTGATTGATTAATAACGGTGATGAATGATAACGCAACATAATCTCTCATCGTTTATACACACCGCAGGAACAGAGTTGGAACGGAAAATGTTATGGCAACCATCCTCGTTAGCGGATATGCATTAGAAGAACAAGAACAAGTGAGTCTTTTAGAAATTTTCCTCAAAATTATAATTATGGTATAAGTTAAAGTTGCTATGTATCCCATAAGGGATGTTTTTTTTCGGTGAATTGAACTTTAAGTTGCAATAAAACAATGATGGATTATTCGATGAACATGAATTTTATTTATCCGAAAGATAATCTTGTGGCATTACATTTTAAATATTATTTCTGGCATATGACCGCCACGGCTGGCGCGGATGTAGTCCAATCTGGACGTCCAATTTTCGATGACTTTTTCCAACATTTGTGACCGTATATCGGCAATAACACGGCGAATGTTGTCTTCCAAATGGTCAAGCATTTGTGGCTTATCCGCATAGACCAATGACTTTACATGGCCCCACAGAAAGTAGTCTAGCGGTGTTAAATCACAAGATCTTGGAGGCCAATTCACAGGTCCAAAACGTGAAATTATACGGTCACCAAACGTGTCTTTCAATAAATCGATTGTGGCACGAGCTGTGTGAAATGTTGCGCCGTCTTGTTGAAACGACATCTCCTGGACATCATGGTTATTCAATTCAGGAATGAAAGAGTTAGTAATCATAGCTCTATACCGATCACCATTGACTGTAACGTTCTAGCCATCATCGTTTTTGAAGAAGTACAGACCAATGATTCCACCAGCCCATAAAGCGCACCAAACAGTCAGTTTTTCTGGATGTAACGGTGTTTCGACATTCACTTGAGGATTAGCTTCGCTCCAAATGCGGCAGTTTTGTTTGTTGACGTAACAATTCAACCAGAAGTGCGCTTCATCGCTAAACAAAATTCGCTTATGACAATCGGGAACAACGGCAATCTCGTTTTGGGCCCATTTGCAAGCGTTGTTCAGGCCTGAGTCTATTCATGTGAATTGCCAAACCAAACAGAATAAATCACTTGACAGCTGTTAAATCGGTCGCCATCTTGAACAGTAATGCCAACTTAAAGTTCTATACATCGAAAAAAAAACACCCATTATAAGAAAACATTCATCTAACATCTAAGTTACGTCCACCAGTGACTGTTTTTTGAATGTTGAATCTAAATCTTCACTCTCAAATGTCGTAAAATTTTATTTAACATCAAATGTAACCAAAAGCTATAATTTCGTTTATTCTGTAAATACAAAAGAGAGTTAACTACCTTCAAGGTTCTTTTAAGATAATGTGAATATTAAGAATTCCAATATTTAAAAATCATGTAAGCGAAAATTCCAACAACTTAATCTAACCAACTTATGTGACTGGCTGTAACTTAAATAGAATGTTATATTTTTATCACTTGCTAGGGAATTTACTTTTTAATTATCTATCTAGTAGTTTAGGGCTTCCGATGATTCGAATTTTGACAAAATGCGAAAAAATTAGTTGCGCCAATCGGTAGGTTCTAAAATCTAAATAAATTAACTATTCCGAGTGACCTTCTTTTAAAAAACTTATTTTATTTTACAAGATGTTCGTTACAACAACCTACCTATTAGTCCTGGCGAAATGAAATATAACGTTTTATGTGAAACGATAGGACTTCGCTAGGTTAGCATTCTAGGATCTTCGTTGGCGAGATAACTCCTTCCCCGTATACTCATCTTCGAACTTGGTTAATTTCCTACATCTTAGCTGTAAGAACTTTTTGTAGCAGACAAGCAGAGAGACACTAATTATGATAAATGTACCTATGACGGTTCATATACTTGGATAATTTCATAAGTGGGTAACTTGACCGAATTTCTTCTCTTAAATTATTTAGTTCATCGTTAATTTCCTTGAGATGAATAGTTAAGTCCAACTGATTTTGGTGAATTGGTGGTATATTTGCCAGGTACGGAAACAAAATTGACTGGAGATTGGTGTGGATTAATTTAGCATAATTATTATTTAATAATAATAATAATAATAATAAATAAGAACAAAAATAATTTAGAAAACATCGAGCGCATTATCCTCAGTCAGTTATAGAGAGGTTCCATCTATTACGCGGAACCATGGAGGAAGGGGCATACCTAACATTGCCGACGGACTTGCTCGACAGCTGCAGAACCGGAGAAAATATTGACTGACAGGAATTTAACGCCACTGAAGTTATCCGATCAGAATTTTGATCCCACAGCAAATATGAAGATACCAGAGCAACTTAAAGACCAATGGAAACGCAAAGCTTGCCACGGGAGATACCCCCACACGTTTTTGGTTAACCTAAGTTTTTTCTGTGTATGAGGACTTCGAACCGTCATTTACCAGAGTGAAATTTTGTTAAGCTGAATTTAATCGTGGCCGCAAGAGCTTAGGAGATGATGCACGTTCTAGACGGCCAAAACCTGTAATTAAAGTAAGAGAGGTAGCAGAGGTTATTCAAATGTCCGAAGAACGTGTTTATCACATTTTAAATTAAGATTTAGGCATGAGAAAGCTGTCTGCGCGTTGGGTGCCACATTTACTAACGTTAGACCAAAAACGTGTACGAATGAACGCTCTGTTAGCACAGTTTAGGCGCAATAAATCCGAATTTTGGCGCTGATTAATTAATGTAAAAGAGACTAGGATACACTATTATACGCATGAAACAAAAATACAGTAAAAAATGTGAACTGTGTAGAGGGAACCGACTCCGAAAAAAACGACTGTTTTGTCGACTCATCTTAATCTATTTATTACCTTCAAAGAGGAAAAACCATTACAGGAGCAAATATACTAAGCATCATTACTTGATAAGCTGAGTACAGAAAATGCGGAAAAAAGGCCACATTTGCAAAAAACAATATCTTTCACGAATTACTGTTTGAACTGCTTAACCACTTCTTCTGTTCTTTTGTTCCTTCGTCTGAAAACTGCTTTCGGAGGACAAGGGTTTTCGTTAAATGAGGAGTCAATCACTTTCATGAGCAATTATTTTTTCTCATTTTGGGAGCATTGCTGGGAGACGTGTATAGAGTTACAAGGAGACTCCGTTGAAAAAAAAAATGAAAAAAATGTCGTGTCAATGTTAGGTCGGAAACTTTTTAAGAAGTGAGTAACTTGACCGAACTTGGCTTAAATTATGTAGTTCATCTAATTTAATTTCCTTTACCTTTTTTGTTATATGTATTTGGCAGATCAGGAAACAATATTGGCTGGATACTGGTGCTGATTGTTCTAGCCTCATTATTTATTATTTGATGATTAATTTTCATAAGGTACGTTTGGAGGTTTGATACGTCCCATGGAGATTTTGTTATTTGTTTTAAGCGCAACATTTAAATTTAACGTTTTGTTTAAACAATACGCTTGCGCATATTTTATCCCACATTGTCACAAATTTGCTCTAAGGCGTCTTATAAAATGATTTTAAAAGGGCGAGAAGCCACCGGTGTAATTTTAATGTTGACTGGGTACATGTGGGAAAATAGAAAATAAGGTTTCTATATGAAGAAAAATAAATAATGAAAATTATTAGTGTAGCGAATAGTAGTGTGTAAATAGTTAATGGCTTTGTTATTTTGGAGGAAATAAGACGAACTCGAAAAGCTGTTGTTATTCGTTAGGTTACTTATGTCTAAAAATTACAAAAGCTATGATTTCGAAATAGGTCACTAAAATTGCTGACATCAGAGAATTCGACCCAAGTTTTAGCTTTTTTTATCCGGTCAGATTTTTTTTTCAAAGATACTTACACGAATCACCAAAATAATTTTTTTCTTTTAAGGGATGAAGAAATAGTTGCCGTGCTTTTCGATTGAACAGATTCTTCTAACATTAGAGAATTCGACCTGATGTTAGATTATCTTGCCGGATCGGGGTTTTTAAATAAAAACTGCAAACGTTTACGGATACCAATCTGCGAATTAAAAAATATATATTTTTACGATTTAGGTGACAAAGAAAAGAGTTGCTGGGAATTGTTTCGTTTTGACTAGATTCTTCAGACACCGCAGGCAGTACTTGGTGTAATGGATGTTTGAGTTCTAATAGTATCATTTTCAGCCTGAGATTCCGTGAGAGACTTATGTAACTATTTAAATTGCATAGAAGTTTCAGTCAAGCTCTGAAGAAGCCAACAGGATGATTGGCGAAACGTCAGCAATTTCGACTCAGCAAAAACCGACGCAGGAGGAATCAAGAAGTTTTGTAAAAAGTATTACAGTAGCCTGTGGAATTTTCTTTGAAAAATATTTCAATTGCACTTTCATAGAAACAACTTTCGATTATAAATTGTTTAGTGTAACAAACTCCTTAACTATAGCGGATAAGTTTTTAGATAAACTTTATGTGTGTGGCTAGCTAATTAATCCCAAATGCAATTGGTTGCACCAGGTCTGGGTTACACAATACTGGTTTGCATTTGCCACATTTATGTAAAAAATCGGATCGGATAAGATAAATTTGGTTTCTATGGATTTGTTGCTTTTATTATTGTGTATTTATTCGTGACTAAATTACAGCACAGTATGTTGGGGAAACGCATCACGTTCCGGAGAAGTATTTAGATTGCAGAAGCGAACCATAAGCCTAGGTTTTTCTCTATTTGGTGATATCAATGGTTAAGGATCAATTTAGATAAAAAAATAAATTGTCTATAGTTGCCAATAGTCCGGTTGTTTTGCCGATAAAACTTTTTGAACATTTTCCTATTTCACTGAAACAAACACAGCGCTGGTGAAGTTAAATAAATTTAAAAACATAAATGAATAGTTTCATTCTTATAATATATTGTTGAAATCGTTTTTTATATTTGTATATTATTTAAATATTGAATGTTTGTAATATATTGTTTATATTTTTGACAATATCGAATACCTCAAATCAGGTTTATGGAAATAAATTTGATTTGATAAACTAACACTTGGGCTGTATTCTCTGATGTTAGAAGACACCACCACACAGACTCCCTTTTCGATCTCTTAAATGGGGGTGATAGATTGATAGAACGCCTGTAGATATGAGGTTGCTATATTTATCAAAAAAATCTGACCGGACTAACACTTGGGACGTATTTTCTGATATTGGGAGGATTTATTTAAATTAAAAAAAAACAGCAACCCTTTTTTTGGGCACTTTAACCAACCAGGAACGCCACTGGAGGAAAACATCCCAGATATAATAATAAAAATAGTAGTAGTACTATTTCACAAATATTTTAATCAAAATAGCGAGCCAGTCGTACGAACAAGTCAATTCGTACTAATTAAGGAAAATACAAAAGTCTCGTCAACATGCTGACGATAGAACACATTTCCTTTTTATTGTTCATCTTCGGGTCCAGAGTTTTAGAACTGAATCCAATGGCGACTTGTCTATTGACAAGAGTTAAAATTGACAGAAGGTCTCGTTCGCGGTGATGACGTTTTAACTGTTCCGCCAATGACTGGATAAAACAGCTCCCCTTTTTTGTGTCCCTCCACGCGTAGAAGCCTGTTTGAACGAAAAGAAATAATAATAAATACAATACAAAAATAAAACTAACATTTTCGAATACAGTGGTTTAGCTTTGTTCTGCTAGAATTATCATCACTTAGTTATCGAGTTTATGGCGAAACGAGAGTAACTGTAAGTCATGACGCAGAGTCAAGGGCAACTCAACAATTAGTGAAGATATCATTCTGCTCAAAGCCCGTTGAGGGTAAACACCATGCTACTAAACATTTTTGCACAGACTCGAGAGATTGATTATGGAAATAGTGATCCATAAGACTGAAACGAAATTAACCTTAAGCCTCACATAGGAGTAATACATCAGTTTAACAGTTAATATTAATATAGTATATTATGCAGAAAGTGTGGTTAGTTTAGAAAAAACGTTTTCAGTTTCGTAAAATATAACCCAAAGTTCTTGAGGCGTTGGCCACTGATCAACTGAACGTCTCATCAAACACAACTCCAAGTCTGTTTAAGCTGGAGCCGTTTATAGAGTAAATAAAATGAAGTGATTTTTTTATGTAAAGGAAGAAACATCATTATATTTAGTAATGTTGAAATTCACTCTATTAGGAAAATATCACTAACTAAGCTCATCACTGCTGTCTGGGAGGGATCCGCAAGCACCAGCAGTACCAATGCCGTGAATATTTTGAAATCATCAGCGTAGGTTAGTCTGGTACAGTTTAGCATCGAAATATATATGTTGCATTAAATTAGACAATAGGCGAATATTATGATTTTGGCAATGGCAACAGCGCAGTTAATTGAATCTACACTATATCTGTATAACGCCAGTTCATTCGGTGGCCGCGCGTATGATGTACATTTTATCTTCGCTCTCTTGTATAATTTATAGGGGTTTAAAGGGTTCGTCAGTAATTAGATTTTACAATGTATAAGCAAATGAATGCCTTGTTTTTCTTTTTAAACGGCTTAACCAAAAAAACCTCCTATTCTTATAATACGGACCAACTGTCAGTTTCTAATATGAACTAGTGAAATATACTAAAAGCCCTATTTTGTATTTTAGAGTATGGGTTCATCGCAAAAGCAAAAACATTCCTCCACGCAAATTTCGGATAGGGAAACAATGAAAAATGCTATTCTTGATGTTAGAGAGAATAGAATGGGGTATCTAAAAGCTGTCAGATCCCTCAGCATTGCCAAAACGACATGCATTCGTTCATCTAAAAACGGAAATTTACCTCTAGGGCGACTTACAAGCAGGGTTGGTAAATTACATCCTTACTATCGAGCAAACTGGGCTTGGTTTGAGCAGGAAAGGAAGGAGCAAATAGCTGCAGTCATTTCAGCGGAACGATAGTTCGTTCCTCCGCGAATGCGAGATCATCCACTGCTAATGAAAGGTGCACCAGCTGGATCAATACACACTTGTCGTCCGCCAGGCTGGATACAGATAGAGCTTTGCACTAAATGGTTTAAACACTTTTTGGAAATTGTCAAATCTTTAGCTACTTCTCCCATGCTTCTGATATGAGATGGGCACACAAGTCATATCCGTAAAATCCAGCCTATGGACAAAATGTTTATGGGCCACTTAAAAAAATATTTAGCTGAAAAAATCCATGTCTGTCAGTGGCTTTCGAACAACAGAGATTTTTCGGCTTAATTCATCTGTTCTTAATGATCATTTATTGAAAAAAACCTAAACCATAAGGCAGATAATGATCATTCCACACAAGAAAACGGAAATACAACAGTGGTACCAATTGAATATCAGACAAATCAGGAAAATCAATCCAAATCTACTTCCAGGTCCTTCAACTGCTCCCGCTTTTATAACACCAGCTATTAGCCCAATACCGCGTCAAATAGAACAGAAATCAACAGGGCAAGAAAAGCTAGTTAAGCTGTTCTACTGACATCATCCCCATAAAAACTGCAATTAGAACATTCATTTAAGTGAAAAAAAATTCTAAGGCAAAGAAACGAGTAAAAGAAATTTTGAAGATAGTCATATAATGAGAGAAAACAACTAACTGGCAGAAAAACTGTAAAAAAAGTCCAACTTGTGAAGTGAATTTTCAGCCTAAGAAAATGCAGCATGTTTATCTTGTGATAGTTTGTTTTCGGAGGATACTTGTGGTTCAGTGCGTTTTTTTGCTCTCGATAGGCACACGAAGATCGCTCCGGGGTAGAAAAAGACATTTTTATATGCGAGTTTTGTAGTAGCCATTAATATTATGGGCCAAAGCTATATTTTGATTAGTTTTGGTTAGTTTTGTAAGAACGTAAGAATCATTTTGGTCCATATTAAATACTAGTGGTCCTTAACCTTCTTTAAAATTTTAAATGTTTTAATATTTTTCAGAAAATTAGTTTTTATTTGTTTCGTTAACTTTTTAAAGGAAAAAACATTACTTATCCATTGTAGGGTGTGTACTTGATTGATCGGAATAAAAAACTAATTCGAGAACTCTTTACTTTTATTTTTAGAAATCCTTACAGTCGTCCATATTTAGAGAACCTATTCTACTGGTAAGTGCCTTCTGGGCTAACATGTGGTTACTTTTGTCAAAAGCCTTACTAATGTCGGTGTGTCAAGAGCGAACAAATATTAACCATGCATGAATAAAACCTTTCTTCTGTTCTTCTAAATAGAATCTCTTTCGAATTTTGAGACGGAAGAATTTATGATGAAACATTTCCGCTACCGATCATTTACAAAATTTAACAGAGAGGACGCATATTCATATAATGAAACATTTCTCAAAACAGTACGGTTATTTACAATTTACTTTGATTTGTATTTTATTAATATAAATAAGAACATTTGTCACTTATGTAAATATTGCATTTTGTATGAATTTCTTAAACCAATTATAATCGTAAAAAAAGAAAAATTATAATGCTACTAATAAATAATAACAAATAATGGTTTCTACTTCAATTATGCACTGATCCGGGGTCACAAATCACCTAGTTCTGTTTTGCAAAAATGTACCCAATGGACGTAGAAAATGTATAATATGCAACACGTATATAAACTTCTTCATACACTAAATTGTCACAATATACTTGTTTTGCTAATAGCAAATAGAACACATTCAATTAAAAAAATATTCATTTTTTTTACTCTCCCTTTTTCATATGCCTCGGATGCAGCTAGTTATATGTCTGAACATTTAAGTACCTGTAACGATTTGTACGTACAATGCACTTACTTATGTACAGGGTGGTCTTAATCACAGGTTTTTACAGATAAATATATGTCTTGATTATCGGCCGAGTTATAGGGCGTTTTTGCCGATAACTTTTTTATTTATGAAAATTCGGATCAAAGCATCTTTTTTGGCGAAATACAATGGCGTGCTCAGACCTTTTCTGTAATACTCAGTTTTCGTACGAATGCATAAAACTTTATTTTGTATGACCATCACGATAAGAAAAATCCTTAACCTTTTTCATTCCTCTAAGGATGTTGGACCTGCATATAGTTGCCAACTAAAAGCATCACCGGGAGACTTCAAAAGTCATTTAATTATAAAAGCCATAAAATAACTAAATGAAAACAAGAAATCCTAGAGCAATTTAATATTATAATTTTAATATTATTAATTTCACGTTATTTATTTTTAATTTAAATATTTTAGATTAGCACATAAAATTACAACCAAATGTAAGAAACAAACCGCAATAATTTAGATAATGATAATAATAATAATAATAATAAATTATCTAAAAAAATTTTAAATAATTAGTTAAAATAAAAAATTATTTAATACTAGATAAGAAAGTAACAAAATTTAATCCAAACAAATTGACCACCTCTAGTAATATAAGCTGATAAGATTAAGTTTAATAATATATCAAAACCTTGCTACTGGCATCAAATAAGTAACTAGTAGGCTGCCCACCTTGCAAATTTTGTCAATCTCAGTTCTTATGTCTCAGGTCTTCGGTTAAGAATCAGTACCCATTTTTTTGCAAACGATCCAAAGTCTTTTGCTTCACATTTCTTGAATTGTATGACTTCGAGGTCATTTTAAAGGTATTTAAACATTTTGCGTGTCATGTTATGACTGACTAAAATTTTAACCAATTTTAGGAAAAATGATTTTATCAGGGAAACACCTACTTTCTATCATTGTCTCTTTAGATAATCCTCGGTTAAGATGGAATTAAGGAGAGAATAAAATTATAGTCCGCGCTCTTTACCTTCTGCTGTTGCATACATCATAAGTATATCCGCCATTACTGGTATTGTATAAACGAGTGCTTCGTTGGCATCCGATTCTACATAAGTCATCTTAACCCCGGAGTCTGTGGTTTCTCCTCTGCAGGCCTAAAACCGATAAGTTTACTAAAAATAAAACAAAACGATTCCCTGTACCACCTGTATAAAAAATAATTTTGGTTTTCCCGCCAAACTCGGACATCTTGTTCCCGAGAAAAAACCAACCATTTCGTTTGTGGAATAATCGTGATCGCGCGCAAAAATCCGCCCATTGCTTTTTCCGTGGGTCATAACCACCACCACCAAGCAATCACATCGCGAATGGTCCATTTGTGACACTAAAACAATTTTACGATCAAAGACGCATTATCTTTGTGTATTCTTTTCGATTCCTTTTTACCATACTTAAAAAGTTTCAACACTTCCATTCGAGACAAGTCGTTGTATACCTGTACCTGGAACTGGAGTTCTTCGAACGTTTCTTTCATTGCGAACATGTCAAATTCGGTACCTGTTCTTGTTTTGTTAGAAACATTGTCGAAGTATTTGTGGTTTAAAATTAGAGCTATGCCTCTATATTCGTGGTTCAATTTGTAGAATTCATCTAATGGATGCTGAGTTGTGATCACCGATGGCTCTTTTAAAATTTGCGGTCTATATAGAAAAAACGACTAATCATTTCAGTAATTGGAATTAATAAGCGCGCGCACATCCAATTTTATTAACAAATGGACTATTATTACAATATAATAAAAACAAGAAAAATAAATAAAAAACAATAAACAACCCAAATGGTTACTTGGTTGAATGGTTACTTAAAGAAATTAATAACCGTAAATAGAGGACTGAATTAAGGACGTATATAGTAGGAATTATATATCTCCTTTTGAAATTATTTTTTTGCTGGGTATTTGGATCATACCAGCGCTGTTGGTGACTAAAATTGCGTGGCAGGCACCACAGTTAATGAAAGTTAACTCTCTTAAGCCATGATAAGACTGAGTCCGATTTTCTATTAATTTGATTATAAGATTTAGCGTCCAATTTTAACAAGTTTGGGGATCATCCTACCACACACGTTTTTTATTAAATTTAGTTGGAGTCAATCCAATTCTAGCAAATGAAATTTCTAATAACCTACTAACATGGATACTTTCTACCAAATAAGTTTAAAGATAATATGAAGTAGGTACCAGGTACCCCTTCCTAGATTAGTTTTTACTGGATGATCACAGATTGCAGCGAGGAATGTAGAGCTTCTTTGTCAGCGCGTATTATATAACTTTGAACTATCAAAAAACCACACTCATACGAGAAGGCTCAGGTGCACCTGGTTAAATATCCAAACGCTATATTTATTAACACATTTGAAGTCATTAAAGCCAATGCTATCAGTATGTCGCATTGAAGAATAGAAGGAATTGCATACCCGCTTAACCATATAACAAAATTATTTTGTAAAACATCTGCCCGATAACATAAAATGACCTGACAGTTCATTCTTTTGTTTTTGTTTCAACCGTTTTTTGATTACGTTTTTTGAACTCAAAATTAACTATTGATTATTTAATTTTGTTGCTGTTTTTTGGACTAACTGACTCGGAAGCGGAGCTTCGCTTCTATAGGGCTCCTGCTCATGATAGCCGTCTTCCCGTGGTGTGTGATCTTGTTTCGGATCCTTGCGTACAATCCAGTTCTCGGAATGCAAACAGGACCAGGACACGGGAATATTTTATTGTAAAGGAATACAAACACTGCTAGTTAAAAATACCCTTTGTTTTGCGCTGGATTTTAATAATAAATGGGCAAAACGATTACAAAAAATAGTCATCGATAAAGCCGCATTAGGCAACAAAATCACACATACCTCTTCCGCCATAACTGCCAATTATCAATTTCTGAATTTAATTCCTGGGATTTCACTGTCACTTCTAAATTATCCTCCATTGCAAACACTTGGTAGAACGATATAAACAACGACAATAAGTCTGTATTTACGTATGGGGAATAAAATACACAACATAATCTAATCTCAAGCAGTGCATACATTTGCTGATAAAGTAATCGATGCAGTATCGAAAAAACCAAATTTGGCTTTGTTCTAATTTATTTTGCGACGGAAAGCCTACATACTCTATAGCTATACTATTTCAGAATACTAGAGAATAATAAAATGGGAAATTCCATTCCAGTTGCACTCAATTTCGGTATAGGTTATAGGCGTAACGAATCCGATATTAATAAATAGGTTTTGCTGTAATTTTTGCCCACTTACCATCCCATCTGATATATTGCCCTCATTTATTCCTTTATGATGGAAGAACATGGCCAATTAAAATATACAATCGGTAGAATCTAGAACCTAAGTATGTTTATTTACTTTAATAGAATTATAAGATAATTAATAAAATGTCAACATTCACACAAATGAAAAATGTAAACGAAAAGTTGGTTCGTTTTTAAATTAAACGGAGCAGGCAGGTAAAGACACAAAATAATAATTGGAAGAAAATTTCATTCGTCTCATGTTAAGAGAACTTATATGAGCGCAAGTGCGCAAGATTTGTAGCAAAATTCAACATCACATTCAAAATAAAGACCTTAAACTACTGTGATACCAGGGAACTGGCGAAAAGCAGTCATTAAAGAAGAGAAGAATATTATGATTTTTTATTATCAAATTTACTTACTTAATACTTAATATAATCATAATTAACTTTTATTCTGTTAAAATAAAATTCTTAAATTTTGCAGTGAAATCAATGCCAATGAATGTGACTTAAGCATCTGGTGGATCACGTGATGAGATTTTTTCCTCTACAGAATTTTAAAAATAAAGTGATTTAAAGTCATAAAAATTATTAATAATTTTGAAAAGAATAGATTGCATGTTAAACGGTCAAATTGTAGTCATTGTTTTGATTGTCTTATTCTATCTAGAAGCTAAATCGTGGTTCTAGTTCTTAAGCAAAAGTTTATTTCGTTGTTTCTTTACTTACTAAATCTCACAACACTATTGGCACCCGAAAAAGGTACATACGATTTGTCAAAAAACTCTAGAAATATATGTTTATCATTTGCAATGAAAATTTACATTTGCGAGGTACTATGAAGTAAAGTAGAACAACATTGACCGAGAAGGAAAGAAGGATGCAGCTTTCGAAGAATTGGACTGAGATTTCGTGAATCGCACACAGCTCCTTCCCATATGATTGAGTGTAGCACTTAAAAAGACCGACAGTTTAAGGCTATTTTTTTAAGGTTCTCTGCTTTAAGACAACGGTTTGTGATAGCAAAATTGCTGCAGACATAACTACAGGATGCAGATGGACTCAGAATTGCAACAGATACTGTTCGTCGACGCATAGCTGAATCCGAGCTGAGACCAAAAAACCCAGCGCGATGACCAGCTTGGACCTCAGAGGAGCGTAGAGCAACACATCGATAAGGTTGATGAAGACTGGGAAAGAGTTCTTTGATCTGATGAAACCAAATTTTATCTCTACAGATGCATAAAAGTCTATCGAAGATCAAATGAAAGATATGCTCAACGTAACTTCCAAAAAGCCAGATTATTTGGGAAGTGAGTTATGTTTTGCGGATCAATCTCTTTAACTGCTCGTACTGACTTAGTATAATGCCAGTTTAACAGCAGATGGTACATAAGGACATAAGGATGTTCCTGCATTTGGCTCTTACATTAGTGAGAATTTTTTGTTTCATGATAATGCTCGTCCGCAGGTCACTGTAAGTATCTCTCTGCTCCCTGAATAGGTCCCTATAGAGTAAGGTATACTCTTTTAAAATATCATTGTACTTATGATTTTCTCGAGCAATCATTACCTCCCAAGTGTGCGCTCACTGTCACCCCAAGCGACAGTACCATATGATGGTGTGCATAAAAAAAGGGTAGCATAAATTCTCTATTTACAGAGTTGCTCAGTTTCCACAACATAATTTTTTTAGTAACTAATTTGCTGTGATTCTCCCAAGAATTTTACTCTGCCGAAAAGAAACCCTGTCTGAGGTTATAAGAATACTTCTGTCCTGGTACACCATCTTTCAACTAGACGCCACTCTGGGTGGAAATCTTGTAGCCCTTTTGTCAGAGTCACTTTCTGCTTCCTATCTTCCAATATGAGCATAGCCAACTAGAAGGCAGACCCCTAAAGAAACACAAGCCTGTAACTTTATGCTTCTCAGCCAGTTTCTAAATAATGAAGTTTCCTGTGTGTGGTCTTTTTTTTTTTTTAAACCGAACTGACCCTCAAAAAGGTTATTGCAATTACATGGAAACATAGTAAGTCTAGTATAATAGACTTTTTCATAAATTTTAGTTAGTTTTGGTGGGAGCAAGGTCACCGACCGATAACTGTTCGTTATTTTTATATATTGGCCTTACAACTGCCTTCTTCAAAGCAACTCACCACTCACTCTCTGAAGGATTCAGTAACAAGAAATGCCACAATCGATGCTAGCAAATCTAAAACGTTTGCCAGTACAGAACACGTTCAAGTTAATAGTGGAAAAGCTGAGGAACTGATAAATTGAAAAAATTTTGGACAATTTTGTAAGATTGAAAAAAAAAGATGTGAAATGTTCAGTACTTTTTGCGACAACTTCGGATTTTATTCAAATATTTTATACCGCCTTTCAAATTATTAAAATTTTCTCTTTCCCTTTCGGACATCAAACTTAGAGAGCGTTTGCTGCAGTACTAACATATTATTTTCAATATTGCATAAAATTGAGATTTCTGGTATGCAAGCTTGTAAAAGAATATTTTAACCACACATTTCGATATAAAATTTATTCTAAAAATAAAGTAAAAATTACAAGAAATTGTCAGACTGGCTGTTCAGAGACGTGTACCTAAAACGGAAATGAGATTCAACAAAACTTTTATGTAGAAGGAGAATGTGGCGTACTTTGAGCTGCTGGTTCTTGAAAAATCACTCCTCGTTTTTTGATATCCTGCGGTTTTATATAAGACCAGGGAATATGTCCTCTTAATACGGGATCCTGCAAAACTTTTTCTTTTGTATCGAAATTCAATTTTTAGATATTGTACGTCACCTTATTGCGTTTATTCTGAAAGCGGTCGGAAAATGTAGTCAAGCTTTTTTCAACTCCAAGAAATTTGTTATAAATGCTATTTGCTTCATCTGCCACCATAACCGGATCGTAATTTTCAGATTTTCGGTAGTGGTTCGAAAAATGCGACGGCCCCTGAAATTCTTAAAAGCGCGTTTTATTTAATACGTAAAATAACTGTAAGGTATGTAGATAATAACTAGAACTGCAACACTGTGATAAAATTTGAATGAACTCTTAATGAACACGCAAAGCCAACCTTATTTCTGGGACAAGAAACAACTTTTTTATTTTAAGGGGAAAATCCTTCGTCATTTTTGAATTCCTTTTTTAATATTTGAAACATATTTTGTGTAGGATATCCAATATCCAAATCTTATTGATTCTGACATATTTTATCTAGTTAAATAAGAACAAACGTTGTTCAGATTTTCACATAAATATATTTAAATGTAACGGCAACACCGTGCCTTTATCAAATGCGAATATCAAACGGTACCGATGTTTATAAATACAAAAAAGGTAGTAACTACTTAATGTGAGATATTACATTGAGATTTAACAAAGGAGATCCATTCAAATCCAGTTGGTCATTAAGTAATACATTTTTTGAAACAGTGTGTAAAATATCGAAATTACCGTCAAAATTGTGTTTTTCTAAATTTAAATGTATAGCGTAATTAGAATCTGAACTATTGTTTTTAAATGATCGTCGATGTTCGTTGATACGTTTTTTGAAAGATCTACCTGTTTGTCCAATATAAATCTTAGAACATGATCCACAATTTAATCTATAGACTCCAGAATTCTGGGATGTATTAGATTTAGATTTATTGTTTTTAACAAATTTTGCTAGGGTGTTATTAGTTTTAAAAGCAATTTTGAGGCCACTCATCGATAGATGATCTGAAACTTTATTACTAGTTTCCTAGATTTTCAAGCAATGTGGGCCCTTGAAGAAATCAAAATAGTGCCTTTAATTAAACAGCAAGCCAAACTTTTGCAGACAGTTTCTGGAAGAAGTCGGGCTTCCTTTACTGGCATACGATTTTAGATGGGACATACAGGGTGGTTCAAAAATAAGATTTTGTTCTAGAAACACGGTTTATTGAGTTTTTTTTTCATGATTTTTGTACGATTTTTGTTTCGAAGAAAGTTTCACCCATAGACAGAATAATTGGAAAGAAGCTAAAATTAAATAAAAATGAGGTTCATTCTATCTATACGCGAAACAACAGGATGAAAATTAAATTTTATTTCAAGGAGGTAAGGGATAGGTATAAGGAAACTTGAGAAATTGCGTTAGTTTCTTTCCCACCATTCGAAAATGAAAAAATATACAGTATTTTACCTTTACTAAGAAAATAAATTTATCTACAAGAAAAAAACAAATTTTGAATTGACTGCGCAGTAAGGCTGACCTTGTATAAGCTTTCCTGTTACAAAAACTTGCCGATTTCGAAATATTGGCTATTTAAAGATTTTCTGTTGTAAAAATGCTTATTCGGCCAACAAGATGACCGCGTAAAAAACAATTGAGCACTACAGAAATAGCCACTATAATAGAACCTCTTCTACATAGAAAGGAACTCCAAATATATAACAAAGACCTTGAGACGCCACTTTTGACATAAAACTCAAAATTTGTCGAAAGCGGTAAGACTTAATTAAAGGCTATTTGTTTTTTTATTCAAAATATATTACTTATATAATTAAAGGCACCGTTGTGTTATGGATATACATGATGGCCAAATAAATTAAACGACTGGTCCGAGAAATTTTACAGTTGACAATACAGCTGAGGGTAAAACATTCTCTTAATCTAACTGCAAACGGGTGTATTGTTAATTAGAAAATTACTTTTACTTGCAAAGCAAACGATTTTGTTGGATTTCTTTCGCCATAGATTTCCCGGACCCTTATATCGTTAAAAAATAAAGCAAATTACATGAAAATCTCAATTTTCTATCTTTCTTCTGCCAAAAATTTGAAGCTAGGCATCAATGAAATCGTTAATTCAATCCTAGGATACGAAACTTTCAATTTTGGTCTCATAAGAGAGCACAATCAAATAACGTATAAACAGTGTAGAAATACTTTCTTAAATATTTTTTTAAGAATAAATAGTCATTATTACCATCGTCTGTGTTTCTGCTGTCGAGATCAGAGTTCCTTATCGCGTTCTCGTTCTCATTGGAGTTGAGGTCGGTATACAAGTTAGGAACGTGGTAAGTCTCGCCCGATGCAGAGTTTGCCGATGCCATAGTGCTGTTTGCACCGACCGCTCCATAAAATTGTTGCCAATTTCTAATTCGTGCCTCTGATGTGCTTAAGCCTAAACATTACCAACGCTTGTACGAGTTTTATATAGAAAAATGTAACTTATTTTTCGTAATTTCAAAATGTTTGAGTTATCCTCTTCGTTTTTTTTTCCCAATAATTTGAAAATATAAGTCGAAATTTTGATTGTTTGATTTTTAGAGCACAGGTATTTAAAAATAGTACAAATAATATGCTACCCATTTAGCAAAATTCACAACAACTTCTTGACAAGATCTACAGGGTGTACCGAAAAGATTTATTAACGAGAGAATCTTTGTGTAAAAATATTGGAACTTCCTTTACGTCATCTTTCATTTTCGTGCCAAGTTTATAAAATACAGTGTTGAATTTTATTTAAAAAATAGCATTTTTGTTTATATATTACATCTTCCAGTTTTCACATATTTTGTTGAATTATCGTTGTAGGTATTTTGGATGTCACTTGCAGTTTTTGAGATATTGTATATTAATTAATAAATTGGAAGTTAAAAAATGATCATTAGTAAGTAACATATTTTTATATTTTAATTAACAATAAACTAAAAATTTTTACGAGTAAAAATTAGATGTTTTAATACACATGTGAGCACTTTTAATCGGTCAAAAATGGTCAGCGCGTTCCCTGGACTTTAGTCCTCTGGATTTCAGTTTTTGCAAGTTTATAGAAGATTATGTATATGCGCTTGTCATTACTACGAAATACTTTTCATTAAAATGGCGAGGGTGTGCATTAACGAAGGAGATGACATTTTTATATTTAAGAATATTTTGTTATGGTCAATTAAAATAAAAATTGTTTCATCTACTAATGGTCATTTTGTAACTTTTAATTTATGTTCAGTATCTCTAAGACTACAACTATAATCAAAAATACACAAGAGAGAAATAGTTATGTACAGTAAGAGTTTATTAAACCAAACAGAGAAAACTTGGGATTAATGATAGGGTACGGGACTTTTTTCTGTGTCGATTATATTTACAAAATTAACATGGAAAGTGCAACCTAATTGCACAATTATAAATACCGATTTGCAACAAAATGTGTTAATAATTGCAAGATTTGTGAATAAACATGCTATTTTTTAAAAAAACTTAACGCCCTAGGTGCGAAAATAAAAAAGTTTATAATGAATGTTTTTACACAAATTCGATTTGCCCTGTATAATGGTAAACTTTAACGGAAACATGATTTCTGTAATTACATAAACTTAACTCGAAAAACTTTCTATATTACAAAAACCCTCTATTTCGATTAGCACGAAACTATTTCGGTTTCGTTTGATTATGGTATTGCCTCCGAACTAAGATCTGCATATTTTGGTTATGCTATTGTTAAGGGGTTCAGTTTAATTGCGTTGGTGGCCAACAAGGGTAACAAAGACAGCAGAATGCTTTGACTTGGTTGTGCGGTTATGAATGTTAAAGCTGTTGGCTGTTGGCTTCTTCAGAGCTTGACTGAAACTGTCTGAAACAGTCAGTTTCAGTTAAGCTCTGAGGAAGCCAACAGGATGATTGGCGAAACATCAGCAAGTTCGACTCAGCAACAACCAACGCAGGAAGAATCCAGAAGTTTTGTAAAAAGTAAGACGAAACATAGTTTGCGATTATTGCGTTGCGTTCGTTCTGTTGCGTTTTTCTATTACACAAATAGATGGTAAATTTTTTGCATATTTTGTAAACAAAATATATCACGATATCACAAAAATGTTTATAATCACATTCAAAACTATTGAAACATATTTTTTTCCCTTAGCGAAACTTATGGTTAAAAAAAAAATTACATAATTTATTTAACTTCCATAGGATAATGTAATACTATTTACAATTCTTCTGGACTCCGTCGGTTGTGAATAAATCGAACTTGGTGACGTTTCGGCAATCCACTGTTACCTTCTTCAGAGCTCAACCGAAACTGACTGGCATTTTGCTCTGTACCTGTTTATATACTGTTTGAGGGTATGCGCATTGTCTTCTATGACTGATTCCGTAATAGTGAAAAGTAAAGACCTGAGTCGCGGTTAAGATTGTTTGGTTGTATAGAGAATAAGATTTCATATCTGATTTCAGGACTGTGTGCTGCAACTGCTGATGAGTTTATTTGTAGCAGGCTTAAGACCCTTTCATGTTCTTTTAGCTTAATTGATGTTTTCCTTCCTATTTCTCCAATGCTCTCTTTGAACATATGGAACGTATGGAATTCTGTAATCTATTAAACGGAATGTTGTCTTTGATGGATCGTACATGTTCAGAGATTTTTGGACATGTCGTACATCTGGTTTTAAAGATAACTTTCGTCTAAAAAATAAATTTATCAACAACTTTTGTTGTGATGTGATGTTTTGAATGTAAGGAAGGAGCACAATGGCAAGTATGGGGTTGCTTTCGGACTTACCTTCTTTGGAGGGTTGTGGTAAGGTGAACGCTTAATATCTCTAATCCGGAAATTATGACAATGACAATACATTTGGGTATCGGTCTGTGTGCAATAATTAAAAATGGGAGATTATTATTAGTTTTTATAGAAGCAAATAAAATCTCTGAGGGATTTTTTATCATGAGGCCGAATAACAAAAGTGTCATCAGTTTCCATAATTTTGGTTTAAGATCGAAGGTGTCCAGTGTGTTGAGGTGTCTTCTCAAAACCTTCTATAATGGTGTTTACCTTTCACCAATATTGGTATCAGTCATCCAAGACACAATGTTCATGCCCCTCCTTTAGCTACACCGGCTCAAGCATTATACAGTACAGTATAGAGTAGAATGCGAGCCGGTTTCAATTTAGCTCCGAAGAGGCCAATGAGACGATTGGCGAAACGTCAGCTAGTTCGAATTATCAACAGCTGACGTAAGAGATAAATAATATTTTTCACAATTGCTGGAAAAAAATCATGAATTTTAATTTGTGTAAAGATAATAAACATTTTGATACTAGGCTAAAATAACAAATATGCATTGATGAAGACTCCTCAGCCTATTTCGGTAGATTTTATCCCTCATGGTATTTTCGTATTTGTCAGTTCTGATACCGTAGCTACATACCTACGTATTCGTGCTGTTTACAATCTACATCACAAAACTATTTATTAACTGAATAGAGATATTAGAAAATTAAGTTTCAAATTAGAAATTCTAGTGTTCTCGAGGAAAATCCGTATATACGCGTTGTTAAGTAACGGTGCCTTACTATCGGTCATTTTATGGTACACACCTGACGCCAAACTCTTGCTGCCACGTCTCAAGAGCGCCCCTCTCTTTTCCGGGTAGACAGCAGATAAGAGAAACAAAATAATAAAAAAGCACAACACGTTTGCTATCCAAGCGATGAAAAATCTGGAAAATAGAGTCGCCATCACCGACGGCGGCAGTGCCGTCACAAATTTTGAGCTGTTGTGCACGTTGAAGTATTCAAATTCTTTGTAGTTGACAGCCCCAATAAATTTCAACCATGTGCTGTAGCTCTGAAAAGATCCGCAATGTTAACAGCAAACACAAAAAATTATTGTATTGTTGGTAAACATCAAATACATTTGTTTGTGCAAAAGGTGTGCCAACATTTCTTTCAAAACTCCTTAAAGACGAGTGTAAAATTAAAACAGGAACAACTTTTCATGATAGCCCCTTTAAAAAAAAAATGAGGGAACCTTCAAGTAAACCACAAAAAAAAATCGAGCAAATTTACATAACGCGAAAGTAAAAATATTTTGTTTTCTAAAAGTCAGCACAACTTAAATTTTCTAATTGTTACACATTAAATTGGATAAGTTTTGAACGAACGTCTCGCAATGGGTTTTTTTTTTTTAGTAAGGAATGAAGAAAAATGTCCTTTGGATAGGGAATTTTTTGGACTCAGTGTGTCCATTTTGCGTTATTTCTGCGGGGCATATTTTGACATTTTAGAAAATATGCTTCTATGTAGTAGAATAAATAGTAAACATGGTTTCTATATAAATTGCTCTAAAACATATATTAGAGTAAGTTATGAGCAGCAAGCAATATGGCATGAACGACAAGTTTTTTTTAAATAATCCTTTATATGATATTAAAATTATATTGTAATACAGTAATGTACCAACTAGACATGAATTAAGGTAACTTTCTAAATAATGCCTTAAGAATTGGTACCGAAAGCATTTTGACTGAATTATCTAATAATAATATAATATAATAGGCTCGAGTATTGCAAGAATTTAATTAAATGTATTGCATAAATATTTTTTAACTTTTTAACAAAAATAATATAAAAAGTCTCATTTTTCACAATGTATTTTATTGAGTTGGGTTATTTTGGTGTTGCTTTTAGTTTTATTCTGTATTATTTTAAAGATAAGTTTATATTGTTTAAATTTTAATATAATATCAGTCGGATTAATTTGAAGTGCATTTTGTAATCTAAATTATATAGAGTTTTGAGGATTTTATTTTGTATTATTTTTATTTTATTAAACTTTGTTTTAATACAAGTACCCCAAACTTCAATAAAATATCTTATAAACGACAGGAAACACGCATTATTAAATTTACATCTTGCAATTTCAGTTAAAAAATAGTTACATCTGTAAAACGGTGCAACTAAGGGAACTATTGTGTGCTTTATATGACTAATGTGAGAATTCCAATTTAGCTGCTCGTCAAGCATAAACCCTAAAAATTTTATTTTATCGACTCTTTCCAAAGTAAAATCACTTATCTTAATGTTAAAGTAATTATTTTTTTCTTTAAATAAAGTGTTTTGAGTTTATTCAATGCTTATTTTTAATTTGTTATTTAATAGCCAGTTGTAATATCCTTTTAAGTCATTTGTTTGCTATATTTGTCCATACTTCTGAATTTTTTTATGTATAAATAAGGCCGTATCATCTGCAAATAAATAATATTGTTTCCAATTCAGCCAAGTGCAGGATCAAGACATACACTTATACCAGGACGGAACCTTGAGGGACCCCACAATTATTAACCATAACTCTGCTACTGCAGTCCTCCAGAGTTATGTATTGTCTGCGGTTGGTTAAGTATGTAATTAGGTTTGACATAATCCCTCTAAGTCCCATTTGTTTAATGTTATCTATAACATTGAAGGCTTTTCTTAAGTCCGCGAATACAGTTCAATACTATTTTGATTTCACGTACTGAAACACGCGTCAAAAGTAACGTGCCTCTCTAGAAAACACGTCATTCTATCCTTCAAGTGTGAAGGCGTATCGAATTTTTGGAAAATATACATGGTGTTTCATTCAAAACATATACCTTTGCCTTTTATCAGTTGGTGAAAATCAGTTTGAGCAGTTATTTGTCAGTTTATTATTTTTGTGTTCTATTCGTAACTTTTGTAATAGCATAGTGATGAAGACAATAATAATATAAATGACAACAATAATTGGAAATGGAATGAATTTAAGACGAAAAACAAGTATATTTTCTAAAATGACAAAATGAAAAAGCGCAATCATAACTTCAGTTTGTATCTTTAAAAATATACTTTTCATAAAAAAAACTGAGTACGCCACTGGATTAGACATAAAAAGTTCCATAAGATTCCTTTTTCATCATCTCATTACGATACAGGGTGTTTAAACTGCAAAGGGTAACCTAAATGGTCAAATTTTAGGTTTCCCCCTGTATCTCATAAACAAAGCCAACTAGGATTATTTTGAAAACGACATCTTTGGTTTCACGAAAAACGAGTACAGTATTGCGAAACCCGCATGGCTGTCCCCCTGAGACACGCCGCAATAACGACGCAAAATACTGTATGGTCTGTTTCAAAGTAAATCACCTTGGCTCTTAACTGCAATTATCGAAATAACCGGTATTGTAGGACAGCACCATGGACGGACTATTAAATGTTTTAAAATACCAAAGATTAAATATAACAATATGTTTATTGAGGTATGATGAAATCACGTTAGTACTAATAGAAATTACGATGACATAAAGAAAAAATTGTGGTATACTCATAAGAAGCTTTGGCGAAACGCAGAATAATTTAAAACTGCCACGGATATCAGCCGACACGTGGTCAGCATCTGCCCGAGTCCTTGTCTTGTCGGTTACCTATAAACAAATTATTGGTTGTTGAGTTTATGAATTAAGTTAATTTTTTGGGGATGGAACTTTTAAAGTCCAGACGATATACTTTGAGACAAACCATATTACAAAGTATCTCGAACCTATAAAACAGAAAATTATCAGAAGATTGGAAAGGTTTTACCGTTCATTTAAATTTTATTCCATGTAAGAAATCAACTAAAATTTGTACAACGCCTATTACCCAAGATTGATTAACAACTTACATGAATGTGTACCATATCCAGACCGAAGTGCACCGCAGATACGACGTCTAAGAACACAATGTAAGCGGTGGTGACTAAATAGGGGCCGTAAGAAATTAGAAACCAATATTTTTCCAGTTTTATGAAGGCGCCCACTGCAAATTGACGTAAATAGAACAGATATATGGCAAAATTTGTTTCCGGTTTGCCTTTACCTAAAAGGAACAAGGCGGTTGTTATCCAAATAACATCTGCAACAATAAACAACAACAGGTAAGTATTAGCCCTCTCCAGGTGGGGCGACGTTTCGGGTAAAGTGGCATTTTCCAGTGTCGCCTTTAAAAATGTGTACAACACTTCGGATACCGTATGGTTTACCAATTGTCCATTTTCGGCATTATCTTGGTCGGTATTATTGAAAAAGACGCCTTGACTTTTTATGTCTATTGAACCGCAGTTCTTGTCTAAAAAAGCGCACAATTAAAAGTAAGATTTATAGGTAGCCACTTTTGTATATGTCTGCCAAGAAATACTTACTATAAAAATAAGTTAAATAAATAAAAACAATATCGTAACATGATGGTTTCACTTTACAGATGGTCGAATAGTACGAGTAAATAATCCAGCTTAGATGTAAAAATGATTGCACCTAAAAAAATGCGTGGTACCTTATTACCTATCTACCAATATCCATTCTTTTATATTTTTGATGTGTATATTCGATATTATCTTTACCCACGGGCATCCATTAAATCAAGGCAAAAGTCTTTTAGCTGCATGGATTTTATTATTTTTACCTTATACATTCTAATTAAAATGATGGAGTACTTACTAAAGTCCAAATTGAGATCCCTACGACTGTACGAAAAATTCTTTTAGGTCCGTTAAGCACCAATAGCGAAGCCATCCTTCATTTTAATTCCGTTTTTGTCCAATTGTTTGTAATTTAGGTCATATTTTTAGAAAACATTGGCCCACCACAAGCGCCAGCTTGCTTAGCACGATATTTTTGATATTTTGCGTGAATTAAGCATCAGATAAGAGATAAAGCTCATAAATAATAAGTGTCCCTGCTGCGATAAGCCCACAACTTCACTTTTTGCTATGTTAACTGAAAAAAATAAAATAAAAAATTGCAATAATATAGGTAGGTATTTGATCAGAATGGAAATTAATAATATAGATTTGTAAATAATAAAATAGATGTATATATTTTATTAAATACTAAGTTGTTATTTATAATTACCTAACATATCTCTAGAATTAAAATTTGCAAAACGTTATCAATAGGATCGATTGTACAAATTTGGGAAAGATTTTGTTAGAATAGGATTGCTTTATTTAATTTGTGGAATGTCAATATTCTGCAACGCAATCTTTTATATCAAAATTATCTGATGTAATAATGATGGAAAATGACTGTCCGTGTCACATATAATTTCATCATTTGGTGTTCAACAATGGGCGAGTTTATCTGCTAGCTTGGCCCGACTTGTTTGATTTGTAAGAAGAAGATTTTTTTTTAAGAAAGATTTTCAAAATTTTGTAACTTTGTGTAAGTGAACCAGAAATATTATTTTCCAACCTATGCTAAAAACAATGAACCTACTGGTACGCTAGTAACTTTCTGATATATCTGTGGATGATAAATGATGTTTGTAAGTCTTTAACCTTGCTTTTAACAATCTTAATATATTGGAAGCATTGTAGTCGCCAGATGAGGATTTGCAAGAGTTGGAAGCTATGCTATACAGCCAAATCTACCATGGCAACACGGGTATTGAGGCTGATCCATTATTAACCACTACTGTCAATATTACTAGTCCTACAGGTATACCAAAAATAAACACGGGGTGCTGTAACAATTTAAATGAGTTTGATCCAAAAAATTCACAAGGAATTAATGATGCCACAGGTAGTTTTTAGCAATAGTTGAATTATTTTGAGAAAGAGATATTATTTGCAGCCAAAACAACTGGTTGCCTTTTCACAAATCCAGTGAACAAATCAGTAGTTGCACCTCCTTATCAAAAACAGGATATTCCTCATCTAGAAATTTTAGCTCGTCTCCTTAAAATAGAAAATTGGCCAAAAGGTTTGAAATATTCCTTAAGATTATTTGAGAGAGGAAAATTATCGAGAAATAGCCTGATAAAAAAACTGAAAAAAGAAATATTTCTTCTAAAAAGTCGTGGTAAAAGGGAACAAAAAAGAAAAGATAAAAAAGAGAAAAGCAGCAAAATGTTGCATGAGAGAGTTAAGCAGGTTGGCTCACCATCTTCTGAAGTGATATGTATATTAGATGGTGATGACGGTGAACAACCTGAAAATGACGATGAAATCATATATGTGGCACCACCTCCTGTGCCTGTTATTAGTATAGATACTGATAGTGAAGAAGAGAATGAAAAAAATATGACGCCTAAAGAGCAAGAGTTCAAAGTAACTCCTGAAGAAGAAATATCAAATGATTTCATTGGCAACCACGAGGAGCAAAATTCTTCACAAATATTTAATTTTAGTTTACATGGTTCTGATTTCGCTAATAATGAATTTGTGCGCCCTGCAAACCCATCCGAAGCTTATGAGACTGAGAGTAGCACAAGTACTTCTGAATTTGCAAAGGAGTCTTCAAGAAACTTTAACAATTCTGTTAAAACTATTGTATTTAATGAAGTGGAATTTCCCAAAGAAGACATTTTTACGGCTAACCTGGACAGTTTTCAAGAATTTGTAAATTCATCTCAAAGTAATATCTGCAAATCTAAGGGCCAGTGTAGCAGTGGCATGGTTGTAGTGCAGAAAAAGAAAAATCAAACAAGAACTTCTTCAGATAGCAGTTCTGAAAGTGATTATGAAACACCATTAGAAAACTTGCCAAATTTATCACCAATGCTTTCCAAGAATGACTCTAAGTCAGAATATTGTACTATATTAGATACAAGCGCAGGGGGGAAACAAATGAAACGAAATATTGAACAAGTATATGGAAATGAGCATCCTAAAAAAACACAGCCATCAAGTAGTAACCTGAAAAGGAGAAATAGAAGAAAGAAAAAAAAGTCAACACAAAAAAGTCCAGAAGAAGAGGTTTCACATTCTGTTGTGGCTGCAACTGATAATAGTCTACCCTTGGAACAATCTGTAGTGGAACTAGCAGCTTCAAATTCTAACCAAACTGCCATAGCCGATAGTACTCAGGAAGATAGTACCAAGATGAAGGCTAAAAAAAGAAAACCCAAGGATGATGATGGCAATGGCGAAAATAATTCTAGTGTGGCTGTCAATGAAAGTGAAATTGGAATTAATCAAAATATTACAGAAGCAGAAAAACAAATTCAAACGGTCTCTGACCCAGAGGTTATCATTGTAGAAGAAGAAATCAGTCACATAGAGATCCTAGACTCTAGTTCTGACTCTATTGATGCAGTTGAAGTTATTCAGGATTTGAGGAGGGCAAATGCCAGCGAATTAAGTTTAGAATCACATAGAGATTTCGAAGAATTTGATGTAGAAAACTTACAGAAAAAAATGTCTGGTAAGTTTTATTGGTGCCATATATGTTCTTCTTAAGTATGCTTTTTAGATGACCCTGTGCTATGGCAGATTTCTGCTAAAGACAGACTGGGGACAACTTCTAAAAAGGGCATCAGATGTCGTCGATGCCGAGAATTTGGACATATTGCACTGCACTGTACCAATAATGTCGCACCTCCGAGTTGTACATTGTGTGGTAATGTTGGCCATCGGGAACCAAGATGTCCTAATAAAGTCTGCTTTTCAGTAAGTGATTGATATTGTACTAATTTCACTATACATTATTTTACTTTATTGGTGTCTGGGGCATCCAATTTTTAAATCCACGGGTGTCTCAGAAATACACTTGAAATAAATCATATCATATCCACAACCTATCTAAAATTTCTGCATATACCAGCATTAAGCCAACAAACATAACCTTAAAAAAGTTTTTTTTTGTGTTTATCATTTTATTTTACTAAAAAAATTATTTTATTTTAGCAAAAAAGTATGGAATTATCAAATCCACAGTTGCGCAATAATTTTTTTGTAAAAACAATAGGTTAAGTGTGTAATAATAATATAAATCTGCAATATTAACACATTCAAAGTTTCAAAGTATACTATTCAAGTTGATATTGACACCATCCAGTAACAGGACCTCTTCCCAAACATAAATTTAATTAGTTCACATCATTATCTACACTACTGTATTTAATTTTATTTTATACAATCTACAAATTGTAGTGTTAATCTGTAAGTTTTGGCTTTTGTAGTGTGGCAATGCTGGAGCGTTTTCAACCATATATTGTTGGAAATGTGTCAAGAATAGAAGCAAGGTGTGTGATATTTGTGGCATTTATGGACATATCAGCAGAGATTGTCCAGATATATGGAGGAGATATCATTTGACAGTAAAAACTGTAGGGATATAATCTAAAAATAAGCTTATTTTTATTATTGTAGACAAAAGCTGGGCCTTTAATGATTCCCAAGCAAGGACCATTATTGAGGCCTAGGACTGAACAGTGGTGTGCTGGTTGTGCCCAACAAGGGCATCTTGATTTTGAATGTGACAGCTACAAGTACATTCGTGATTATCCAGCCACATCTCCAGAAATTTTCCATTACTCTGACATTTACTCCAACCCACAAGTTTATACTGACAATGTTCAAAGACAATCCACAAGTCAGGATACAGCAGCACCTATGATAAATAATGCTCAGCATCTACCAAACTCGAATTTACCGGTTCTGTATCCTCCTCAGAATATTTTTCCAGCACATCAGCACAATGCTCCAGTAAACCAGCTTCATAATATTTTAAACCCTCTTCCTCTTATCAATCCCAATCTTTTACCCAATCCTCTTTCTGTACTTATGGGTCCCCAAGGTATGCCTTTAAACGTACCTCAAAATATACCATATCAGATAGGAAAGTATGCTACAAAGTTTCGTGATAGTTCCCTGCGAGACCTCATAGATTTTGTAGAAGGTGAACTATCCAAATTGCAGGGAATGAATTCTGATGCTAAGTATTGGAAGAAGAAACTCCTGACTGTTGAAAACCTGAAGAAAACCAAGAGTGAAAGATCAGAAGGGATACAGAAACGCATTAATTTCACATATAAACTGATTAACATGTATGTTTTTGGAGTTAGGAAATTGAAAGATGGGAAACGGCATCTTGACAACTTGAGAAACTTTATCTACCAACCGGGTTATGAACTACGCGGTAATAAAAGAAAAATGTTGTTTGATGCTTACAGCTACATTTTTGGAAATCAACATCAAAATGTAAATTATCACAGACTTTTAAACAATTTGATTGTTAATTCTAAAATGGGCAGGCCTTTGATCTGACCCAAGTTATTTCTGGATGTAATATTGATTGATTGAATATTGACGAGCATGTTCGGATATTCTTTTAAGTTTCGTTATGTTTGAGAAAACTTTTATTTGTTTTTTTGATTAATTGAAAAATATGGTTCAAACATTTTCCCACATGAAATGTATTGTCATCATATTTTTAGTTAAAGTAATAGCTGCTTTTCTCTGTTATCAGTTTTGGGGGGTCCTCGTAGGAAATAAATACTGTAGAATCAAATATTTTTTACACTTCCCACATTTTTTCCCCAGAATTCCTTAGGTATTTCATGAAATATTTTACAATCAACGAATGAATTGTATTTAGAGAGGTAAAAACGAATAATGACAACAAAAATTATTCTTACAACGTGTCTCGACTGTCTCAAAAAAAATTGAACTTAGTTTTGGTTAACTTAATTACAAACATCTTTAACATAAAATTTTTCACAGTCCCGCTTAACTTGTGAATGTAAGACGAGGTTCACGATATTTATTTTTGAAAAACTTACCTATTCTTAATACTCTTTTTTAAGCCCTATTTAGTTTTGGGAACTCATAATCTTTGTAGTATTTTATTGCTTATTTATCAAATAGATAGCTTGCGTTTCTTAGACATGATGCTTGAGTTCTCAGTTCACTATAATCATACACAATAGAATTGCCCACAAGTGCTTTGCTTAACACTTTAAACTTCTCAATTGATTCTTAACTAAGATTATTTTTGAAAACATTTTTATAGCCATTAGTGGGAACCGTCGCCGTCTGTGAAAAAATCTAAAATACAGCTGTAGCAACTGTAGCAAATTTGGCTAAGACAATAAAAAATTAAAAACTAGATATTTTTTTTAACTACACAGGATTTTTATGTTAATAGACTGATCTGATTTTCAAGATGGCAGTTATACCGAAAACGGGTGTTAACTTTTTTATTTGAAATGGATCACAAAAATATTGAAAAATTTCAGATATATTCCATGTCACCCTTTAATTCAGAACTGATTATTATGATATCTAAATTAGGAGAAATCCAGTCTCTGTAATTTTCAAAGCTGGTGAAAACCGACTTCTTGTCAGAAACTAGTTTCTTTTGGTATAACCAGGGGTTTATCGCGTATAATTTCACTGATAACTCTGTCAATGTAAGTTCAGTCAGAGACTTTCTTTACTTCTTCATTTGATATTAATCGTTGAATTACTATTCATGGGAATAAACAGTATTATGACATATTAAATTATTTTTTTTTATTTTTTTGAGAAGAAACAAATTTTGAGCTTAACATCAGTGTTCTGCATTTTAAAATGCAAGTTTTTGGCAATAGAAAAGTACTCTATCTTGAATAAATTGCTGCAATTATTTATTGCAATGTTTCTGGCTTATTTATTTATTATTTACGCAGTCGATAGAAATAAAATATTTTTCCTCTGCATCAAAAGTCATATGAAATTTTCCAATTTGCCTGTGGGCAAATATGGGTATAACTTCAAAATGAATATCCCGAGTTACGTATTACGGCACTCAATTCAAAGTTGGGTATTAGTTACGTCGATTTGTAAGAGTAGATTTCCTTTTAATCGAAATTTAATTTTTTAAACAACAAAATAAATGCATTAAAAGATTAAGCTATCGTATCTTCCTATAGAAAAAACGCAAGAAAATGTGTACAGGATAGCTGACGTCAGCATTCGCGCTAAACTGGCGGAAATGAATCGCCGATGTAACTATCCTTCCCAGTTTTTCGTCCTTGGATTTACTGCGAATATGCATCCATTTTTCTGTGGAATGCCCTTAGTAGATTTTCTAAAAACCCCTGGTTTCTACAGTAGAGAAAACGTTATTACCTATTTGCATACTCATTGCGGAACAATTATTTGTCAAGAGCCGCGATCGTTGGTCATTTATTGAGTAAGTTAAAATTTGTTTTTCATTGTGCAGGCACGGAAATTGTCCAAATTTTATCGAAAAATGTTATTAAATGCAAATTTTGTAAATGAAGTGTTGGTTCTCAGTAACACAAATATTTGTAAATTAAAGTTAATAACAAATAAGCAAACCTATTTTTATGGGAATTAATGCACCTGATAAAGTGTTCCACATTAATGATCTTTTTGTTTTATTTTATCATAAACATTACTTTATAGTGATTTTTGCTTGGTGTTATTTTATTTTAAATTTAATTTATTTTGAGCATCTGCTAAAACCACGTTCGAATTAATGGCAAATTTGTTGCATTTGCAGATGACTTGAGGCCACAAATTGTAACCAAGCAGTTAGTTATAGAGGCCCCTAATTTCATTGATAAAAGTAAGATACAACTTCCCTACTTACATCTTCATCAGACATATAATCAGATCTTTTTGCAAAATTCGTAGGTTCAGAGTGTAATTAATTACAAGATTTGAAAAATATAGAATTCCTCTATAAATAGGTGCAAATTCAGTGTGAGATAAATTCTAGTCCCCCTAATCCTGATTGTTTGTGTTATGAATATCGTTTTTTGTGTATTGCTATTTTATTCTAAAGTAAGCTTATTCTTTTTGTAACAATAAAGGTTCAAATCAATAATACTTAAATGTACCCTTTGATAGATATTTTCTACGATTCTAGGGATAATATTTTATAATTTAAGGGACAAGAATAAACAACATATTAAACCTTTATTTACAAACAGCTTAACAAAATGTACTATGTACATGTATTGGCACATATATACATCATAAAAATTTATTATATTTAACGGCCACCAATTCGGTTTGAATTAATTGTGGGTTTTGAGGAAATAATTATAATTTGACCATATATAACATATAACAATACAATAGATAAAGAATTAGCTGTTATCTTTCAAAACGTCTTTGAGTATAGAACTGGAATTCCGATTCTGACCGAAATCGGCAAAAGTCGGAAGAACAATTTCGCTTAAAATAATCGGCGAAACTCTAGGTGTATTTCGCCTGCTGCTATCGCTGCTTGTACTGGGCTTTGATAGTTCTCTGGACGTATCGAGTAAACTTGGAATCTCGCGTGGCTTAGATTCAGTTTCCAAAAATTTTATAAACGCTTGCGACAATGACTCTTGCGAAATATTGTGGGCTGCGGACTGCGGAAATAGTATAGAACCCAACCATCCCTGTTGCGGCTGATTTAGTTTCACCTTTTCGTGATCCTGCTGGTTAAAGTCCAAAACTGTGGCGATAATTTTTAAAATCTGTGCTTGGTCTTTGTTCCAACTGTTTGCGTTGCCAGACGACAGAAAACCGACAATGAGATTTTTAATCAGGCTTTTGTCAACTTTTCCTTCAGTGTGATTTGTCAGCTTGTGCAGCGTTTGTTCACTCTTCAACAGATTTCCTTGGAGCTGAGTCACTATAAATATTGAGAATATTTTTAATTTTTTCGGTTTGACATTTTCAGTAGGAAGTATGACAAGTAAAAATCCTTGTACAATTTTTCTCAAATATAGATGATATATTTCTTATGATATTCATTTTTTTATCAGGTTGTTCAGGACTGTGAGCAAATTTTTATATTTCCATCTAACAAGTGCTTTGCCTTTTGTGTTTATTCTTACACGTTTTCCTAAAAAAAATCCCTGGAAATTGCTTTATCCTATATTCATATAATTTAATAAAAAATTATTATGACTGACATTCGGTAAAATTAAAATAGTGTCCTTCTACATACTCCTCTTTTTCTTATTAGCGTGTTAAAAATACGGCTATTAAGGCGTAAAACCGAGTCTGCCCCAGTCAGTCATGTTAAATTTGTATTAAAATAAAGGAAGTGTATAATTTATTAGTATATTATGCAACAAGTTTGAAAAACGCCATATTATTTTAGTCGCGAGTTTGATTTGGCTTAACGAGTGCTTAACTGTTGTTAACTTAACAACTACTTTTTCTATGACCATTAGTTTTTGGATAAATTCATTGTGTGACTAAAGCACCGGAAATGTCCTTAGCGGTTCGTGACCGTGAGTAACGAAGCAGATGTTTTAAAGCGCAGTAGAAAAAAGGTATTCAATAAAAACCAATTTCCAGAGGCGTGTTTTAGGGACTACTTAGAGACCGAAAAAATTGCATTGCAACTTGTCATATTATAATTTGTGTTCTAAATAAATCACACATTTTTCTAGACATCTTGTACATGCAGTCATAACAATCAATATTACAACAATCAATACGTCATCGAATTATGAAAAAAATAATTTCATGAAAAAAACTCAAAACATGGTAGGCCTAAAATTAAAATTGTGTTAATAAAATAGAATGTCCGATATACCAGATTTGTAGATAGTGAAAGAAAGAGCGCAAGTGTTACTCAGGGACCGATTTCTTGAAAACAAACCAGTACCTGATGTAATACTCACTCCCTCAACTTTCTAAGCTAACCGATCATGCTCAGTCCATGCCAATGGAACTCAACAATAACTGTAAAAAAAGTTAATTAACAATGGTGTAAATGACAAAAATCTGACAAGGCCGCCACAAAAAAATAAAAGCCAACAATGGTGATAAGAACACTGCGTTTCTGTAGATCTCATTCAGTACCTGGGGAATCGAAACGCGTACCTCACAGTTACCAAATGAGATTAAAAAAACGTAGGTGAAGCGTGCAAAACTTGACAACCAAACACGTGCATAAAAATGTGACGATCAATACATCGATATACAAGTTGTTTTATTACCGGTGGCCGTATCTCGAAAACTACTGAACCTAGAGCGTATACTTTGGGAAATATCTCTGAAACGGAGTAAGACATCGAACAGCGGTTTTAATATTTTCATGAAAATTTCAGTTACCTTCTGCCTAATTTATCAAAATTAATCAAAAATATTATTGCGGAATGCGCCCCCTACAGCCATTATTTGGATTTAAAAGCAATAATTACCGTAGACTTGAACGAACTGATTTCTGAAGTAATTTCTAAAAGGGTTTATGTGAAAGCGCCGCTACGATAGCAAAATGTTTAATTGTTTGGGTTTCCCAAACACTTAAACCCGTGCAACAAGCACTGGATTGCCTTCAACCAATAAAGGTATTTTACAGCACACAGACTTTCGTCTAGTATAACTCATTCAAGTTTAAAGTATTGTATTGTTGGTGTTTTTCCTTTGCAAAAATCCTTGAAGAAATTGCTCCGGAAGTCAGTTTTTTCAAAATCTATCTATCCTGGCATCTTAATCAATTCACATAGAATATGAAATTATGGTATTATCGAATGTCCAAGTAAATTAATCGTAAATTAATACAGTAATTAATGCAATTTTAAAGCTAAAAGTAGATAAGGCATAATATTTTATTAAAAAAAAACGAATAATACAAGAGCTATTTAAAAGTTTGTATAAATCATATTTTCTTATCTGCCCTAGAAGTTATGCCATCTACTGGCCATTGAAAACAATTTCCAGTAATTTTTGTAATGGCCTCTTTGGTAATAACTACTTTTTCCCCAGGCCATACGGCTACTACTTTGCGAGATACAGCCGAGAGCGAACAACGATACATCAAGTTGTAATAACTGTAATTAAATTATTTCCACTCTACTTCGGTTGAAAACAATGTTTTTCACTCAATTTAATGACTTCTCCCAGAGATAACTAAAACAAAAGGACTGCTAGTTTGGTATTTGAAGGGAGAAAAAGGATTAGTATATGACGCAACAGTCGGCGAAAATGACCAAATAATAAATTACCTATACCGCAAGTGCCGCATTTAAATATCGACTAGACAATATCGCATTTCGAAGCTTTTACGGCCGTTCATGACAATATCAGTCGATATTCTGGAACCCCAACAACCCAGAATTACCAGCTGATATTTCAAGAACGTCCGTGCTGATTAACTTAAACCGATATAAACGTCATGCGGAATTTACCAAACTAATAAACGTGCACTGACATGACCGTCAAATAACCTCACCCACCTTCTTCCTTAAGTGCCAAGTTTTGCTTTTTGGATAGCTCCAATTGGTCAGACAGTCGCGATGCTGCTTGCAAACCCTGCTTGCTCTCGTCTAATTGCGATTTAAGACTGACGATTTCGTTGCGCAAGTCTTCCTGTACCCTTTTCTCAGTAGTTATTTGTCGTCTTATTCGATCAGTTTCTTTCATAACGTCCTTCTCTTTATCTGAAATTAGTTTTAAAGTATGACAGCTACACAAGTCAAAAAACATATTAAAACCAAAAAGGCAACACTGCTTACCTCGCTGGAACTGTTCCAAAACAAACTGAAGGTTTGCAAGAGCTGCCGCCTGTTTGCTGTTCTGATCTTCAGCATCAGAAATTTTTTTCCTCAGTTCGTCGCGTTGATTCGTTACAATTTGTAGTTGACTCTGCAGAGTTTCTAATTGTTGATTGGCTCTGATGCTCACCGAGGTGTACATAGTGCTAGAGTCTTTCTCCCTTTGTTGGAGTTCGTTTAACTTCGTTTGTAGTGCGCCATTTTTCTGCTCAACTTGAAGAAGCTCTTGAGTATAGTGTTCTTGTATTTCAACTAGATGGGACTGCAGTCTTTCCAGTTGTTTGGAGAGCGACAGTTCTTTCTCAGACGGTCCAGATTTCTCTAGGACCTGCTTTCCCAGTATGTCACACTTCTCTTTCAGAAAATTTATTTGATCTGTTAGCTCTTCGATTTTGAAAGAACTTTGGGTTTCTGCTAGTTGGGATTCTAATTTCTCGCATTTTTCCGAATTGCTTTTCAATAATTGAGATAATCTTTGTACTTCGTTGTGATACGACAAGCTCTCTTGATGTTTTGTGGTTATTAGACCTATCAATTCGTTCCTCGAGTTGGTAACATCCGCAAGCTGTTGTTGCAAATTTTTTTGGCCGTCTATGCTCTGCTTCAAAGCTTGTTGTAAATTATCAATCTCTTGTTCTAATTTCATTTTTTCTTGGGACACTGGTTCGCCTTCTTTGCTCTCTTGTGGTTGTGTTTGTCCATTGGTAATGTTTTTCAGTTCTTCCCTTTCCTGTTGGAGATCTTTTAACATTCGGTCCAAGCTTAATAATTTGCATTCTTTGTGTTCAATTACTTTCTCCATTTCCGACTTTTGCTGCTGGACCTCGTTAAATGCGCCCTCAATTCTCAACAGTTCGTTTTCTTTTTCTAAAATTCGGGTATTCAAGTCTTCACACTTCAATAGAATGGAGTCATATTTTTGTAGTAGTTCATTATAATTCTGTTCATACTCCTGTATGAGGCCTTTAGTGGTCTCCAGTGTTTGCTCTGATTTTTTTTTCGCTTCCACCGAGCCGCTATAATCTTTACTTAAGGTATCGTATTGCAGTTTCAGGGTAGTTTCGACCATTTTCGCATTTTGCAACTTCTCTGTGAGGTTTTTCGTTTGAGCTTCAAATTCCCTTCTTCGATTCTCTTCGTTGAGTAGTAATTCTCTTAAGGTGTTCATTTCAGATTTTGCGTGGGTGTTGCTTTTTTCACTTTCCGTCTTCAACTCGCCTAATTTTCGATTTTCTTCGACGAGGGTGTCAATTTTTGCTTTGCATGTCTGCAGTTCTTCGTGTAAAGTGTCGATGGTGATGTTGGCTTCTGTGAGTTGGTACTCCGTATTTTCAAAGTCGGCCCTCGCTCTTTCCAAGTGAGTCCTCAGTTCTTCGTTCTCTTTATCCGCCAACTCTAAGTCGTTCTTCGTATTCTCCAGCTCGTTCTTCATCAGATCGTAGTCTATTTTTAAATCGTCGAAGCTATTCAATAACTCCCGATAATCGCGCTCGGTTTTACTCACTCCCACCAGGGATTCTGGGATATCCGAAGAGCCTTCTGACTTCTCGTTTGTATCTTCTTTTGCCGCACCATCTGGCATGGAACGTTCCCTCGTCTCCAGCGAATTGCCTATTGTTTCTTCCAACTCTTTGATTCTTCGATTTGCGTTTTCCAACTGATTTTCTAGCAGAACCATGTTATCTTCGTTTGATTCCGAGATAGTTTGAAGACCGGCGTTTTTGTGATCGTTCAATTCCGACATTAGCAGTTCATTGTTTTTACCCAGATCGTAGATCTCATTTTCCAGTTCTTTGATTGCCTCACTCTTCGACATAATTTCCTGACTCAGGTCTTCGGAGTTCTGCATCAACTTTTCAATTTCGTAGTTCTTTTCAGTCAAAATTTGAGTTTTCTCGCGGGATATTTCCAAATTTTCATTTTCCAAGTGCTCGCATTTGGATTTAAGCTCGGATAGGATATTGAAAATATTTTCCACTTGCTTGCTGAATTCCAATAAATGCGGATCTTCGCAAGGCTCGACCAGTAAGTCTGAGGATTGCGAGGCCGTATATCTCTTCACGTTTTCGGTAATTATATTCACGTACATTTTGTGCAAGCTTTCTTTCTCCGCAACTACTGTGGCCATTTGTCCTTTGAGCGCCTTTTCCTCCGTATCGTCTGTAATATTGTCCAGTAGGGCGAATTTTGATTCAAACTCCGCCAGTTTTGAATTCGCGACGTCGAGTTCACCTTGAAGGATTTGTTTGGATTTCTCCAACTTTTTCAATTGCGCTTTCATTTCCGCTTGATTGTTGGACGCTTCGCCTAATTCGTTTTTCAGTTCGCTTACCTGTTTCTCGTACGTTTCCAATATGAACGCTAATTTTTCGCAGTTTTTTGCATCTTCCCGGTTTTTCAGTTCTGCAGTTTCGACAAGTTCTTTGGATTTTTGCAGCTTCCCATAAATTATCCTGTTTTCCGCTTCGCTTTTTTTGAGTTCGTCGAGGACTGCGTTCAGATCGCGCTTCGCATCCATCTTCGTATCATTTAAAGTTTGTTCTAAAATTTGGTGGGCGCTTTTAAGAACGCTGAGCTCCGTTTTAGTTCTTCCCAATTCTTGTAGTAATTCCTGTGAGTCGCGATCATTTTCAACTCTTTTACTACTTCGTTTGAGCTTTTCTTCGCTCGAGCGCAATATTTCGTGGTTTTGTTTCAGTTCTTTGAATTTCGCTTTTAAAGTTTCGTTTTCCTCTTGAAGATTTTCTTTTATTTTCACCAATTCAGCGATATTCTGCTGATGTTCCGAATCCAACTGTTCCAGCTGATTAGCCAGCTCTCTGTTTTCATTCTTCAAAGTGCTGACGTATTTCCTCAAGTCCGATATCTCGTCCGCCGTTGACAGATCGACCTCTGCAGATTCGGCCGTATCCCAGTCCCAGCTGTTTTGGTTGAGTTCCCCATTTTGTTTTTCGTTGTTCTGAAAAAAAAAACATGTTTTATTATGTTATTATTAGTAAAGTGTTTATTATGGAACGCCAATTTAGAAAACCTCCGAAGAGTGTGCACAGCAAGTCATGTTACTAGAAGAGGGACGGAGCTTTCGAAGAATCGCACAGAGATTCGATGTACCGCATACATAACTTTCCCGTACGATCGCACGTTAGAGGTTGATAAATCAGTCCTTAAGAAAGCGTGGTCAAAGCAGGCATCGCATTACTACGTTCTATGCTTTAAGACAACGGTTTGTGATGCCGACCCAGCTACAGAGTATCCTAGACCAACGTTAAATTTTGATAGAGAACACTCGATTGGTCAAAACACCCCAGATCATTTGGTGGAGGGTCCGTTATATTTTGGGGATGAATTTTTTTAACTGCTCGTACTGACTTATTAATAATTATTATAATATAATAATACAGACACAACTTCAGGAAGTACAATTTCAACTGATACTGTTCGTCGAAGACTGACTGAATCTGATTTCAGATCAAGAAACCCAGTGCGAGGATCAGCTTTGACCCCAGAAGTATAGTAGACCAAGCTTAAATTTTGCTAGAGAACACATCGATTGGGCTGATGAAGACTGGGACAGATAGATAGACTCAGATAGATGTCTAAGAGTTTATTGAAGACCAAATGAAAGGTATGCCCAATGTAATTTCCAAAACACCAGATTATTTGGTGGAGGGTTAGTTTATGTTGTGGGGAGAAATCTCTTTAACTGCTCGTGGTTATTAATAATGGCAGTTTAACAGCAGAACATGCAAGAACATGTGATATAATTTGGCAATTACGTTGGTGAGAATTTTGTTTTAGCAAAATGTATACAATTATCTTGATGAGCTGACAATTGGCCAGCAACCAGTCCTGATCTTAACTCAATTGACAATGTTTGGCACATGATTTACAGGAGTTTTCAAGACCTTCTTAACCCTCCTAACACTTTGAATGCGCTTACTGGAGGTATTGTTCAAATATGGAATAATTTATATCAAAACGAGATAAGACCCGTACTTTTAAGCACGAATAACCTCTGCCATGCTGTTAAAGGATAATAGAAAAATGGCCTACACCGCACCAGCAGGTTTCTTGCGACATCATGTAGCCAGTGACACGATTCGTTAATGTGCTTAGTAAAATTAACTAAGTTTACAACAATTTTCACATTGTTTTCTATATTTTTACAAAATAACCTTTAAGCTGGGTAAAATAGCCGGATACCAAGAAGAAAACGCAAGAAACGATTGGATTCTGCAAAAGAATGTGTTGCAAAATCTAGTTTTGGCAAAATGTGATATTCCCTGACGAAACAAAAATTAATAATTTTTTGTTCTAATTTCGGGATGTCTATCAACATCTGGAGAAGAATGTAATAATATTCCAAGCCAACTAACCAGGAAACTAAGTATGCCGAATTTTTGAAAATATATTGTACAAACACGAATTTTTCGGTATAAGAATTTAAATTTAAAGAGACTTTTTTGATATAATTTTGTTCAATAAATAACTAATAAAATATTTTTTCGTTAATAAACCGTGAGCTCGAGATTTTACTTGTTTATTTATTTAAAACCAATTACTGGCTATAACTAAAGCATTTGTTTTTATTTAATATTCAATCAAGGAAAACAAAAAATATTTAGTGCATAAAAACTTTTTGGATAGACCGCAAGTAAGTTCAGTTCATGTGTAAAAACTCCATTGCTATTTAAATGTACAATAAAATGAAATGTTACTTTGTAAAAAAGTAAATATGATGATGCCGCAAGACACCTATTACCTTTAAGGTGACATGTGCCTATTCCGATTATTTTTGAAAAAGTTGGAGAGGTAAGTTATATAAATACGTTTCTGAAAAGTTCTTGTATGTTGTACACATTATATAGTTTTAAGTCTATAATTTTCATTTTCTCAATTGTAGCGGTGTATATTGTTCATAGAATAATAAAAGTTAATAGACCCGAAACAATGATTTTTTTTATATAAACAAACCTTTTTGATAACGGTTTACAGAATGACAGCTCTCACAAAAATTTGCCCATAATTATCAACCCATTAATAGTCAATAGTTTATGGATGTGATTAGATTTGACCTTGCTGTGGTGTTTTTATGTGTTAAGTCGAGAAAACGACATAGGTAAAAAGAATTTCGATTTTAATTGTTTTAAACTATAAATTACTGTATTGTTACCATTCAGTTTTCTTTTCAGCACATAAACAAACCATGGCAATGTTAAATGAGAAATTTGTATCGCAAAAATGACGTATATGTCATGAGAAAACAAAAAGAGGTATTCTACGTATATAAATTATTTATAAGTGCTCCATAAATACACATGAATGTCGTTTGGCTTAAAGGTGTAATTATATTATAAAACTATGTTAACTCTTTAAAACTACTTATTTAATGTAACAATTCTTTGAGCAAATTTTTCTTGAAGAATTTATAAATACTGCATGGTAGTGTACAGCTTTATCCATTTTCGAATATTCAACAATTTTAAGCTTGTTTTAAGAAAATGAACGGCTTATCTGCTAATATTTTGTAAATAAGCCGAAGACGCGGAACAAAATTGAATCAGTGGTCAGTTAATGAACGACCATTGAGTCGAGCACATTTTACGTATTGACTTCTTAAAATATTTCGTATGATGGAATTGGAAAAACTCGATTGCCAGTTTATGTTCATAGAGGGGCTCCAGGTGCAAGGATTTTTCGACAGAAGTAAGCTGTAGGTTTAATAATTTTTCGTTGCAATATAATAGGGTAGATATACGAATGGAGTAAATAACTTAAGTTTTAACAGCAGCATGTCTCCAATCGGTTCAAAAATATTGAGAATTGAGATTCGATTTACTTCTAAATATTGTGTTATAATAAATAATTTACACTAATTTTATGCGTACAAATAATATGAACGATATTACATTCTAGCCAACATCCCAATAGTCTACTATGCAAAGAATGCTAAACTCCAATTGGGAGCAACCCTCGGGTTAAGGACGGGAGGTTTTACCTCAACTTCACGCTAATAATAATAATGTTATTATTATTTTATTCTAGACAGAATTAAGTTTCATCCAAATTTATATATTAAATTATTTTTAAATAATTAAAGTTTTGTCAAAATTTAAGTTGAAATAGTATATTATGCAGCAAGATTTATAAACGACACTTCAGTCACCGGTGGAGCGCAGTGGAGCGAGTGTTTAATAAATGAGTGACTAAAAAAGTTTATCAGCGCGTTCTATTCTTTACTTTTCTACGACTGTTAGTTTTTGGGTACATTTTTGCAAAACAACGAATACGATAAATGGCTAAAATCTGCCAGAAAGGTCCGATTGCTCCTAAAACCGTGACTAAAGTACCAGAAATGTCTGGGTCCGACTTATTAAAGTGATTAAAGTAAATTTTAGAGTAAGGGAGGAGAAAAAATGTTAATAAATCAGGATAAAAAGAGACGTATTAATTATACCCCGATACTTGTCTAATTAGAATTTACTTTTATAGAGGGTCCTATTATTCACAAACCGAGTCAGATCTTAATAAATTTAATGAAAATTTGGTTTGCGAATAATGGAAAACATTGCTGAAATTTTTCCCGTGTTCCATTTTGTAACCAGTCACATTCTAAAATATCATGTATTCCAGGTTTTTTTTTAACCAGAGCTCCTGATTGCGTTGAATCATCAGTAAAGCTGTAGCTGTAGTACACCATCTGGTTGAAATACATATATTTCATTGGTGGTCATTAGAATTCGTAATTTTTTTTGCGGGCCCTATTTATTTTATTTTAAAAATTAATTTCTCTTTTAAGGTTTCCAGCCCACACGATTTCTTTTTTAGCCACGAGCGATACGAATTAACACGGTGAAACAAATTGATACCGTTTTTGCAGTGTATATGGTGTTAGTTATAATGTATTGTTAAATAATGTTTTTGACAAATGTAGTGTGCTTAATTTGTGGTGTAGAGATATAAACTTGTGCAGAAAACTTTAAAGCATAAGAAAAAAGGTTGTGAAAATCTACAGCTGGCGTATTTATATCATTCCAACGCCTTTAATTTTGAAGTTATGCGAAAAGGAAACAAAACTCAAAACATTTTTCCCATAGTTGTTTTTAATTTTCGTACATATTTTATATAAGTTAGTAAAAAAACGTTTCGCCACAGAGTATTGGTGGTATATTTTTCTGATTAGTTAGTTAGAAAGCAAATAAAGTTTTTAATGTGAAGTGTTATATTAAACTGCATTTTATCGGAGTATCGGAATATAATTTCAGTAAAATTAAAAAAATGGATATTTTTTCGGAAAATATACAAGAAAATAAGAAACTGAAATACGAACAAAAGAAATATTTGATTTAGAAAAAAGTACCACCAATAACTTGTATCTATGCCACTGCATCATGAATGCGTAATGAATTTTAGCTTGTGACAATATTTATGTAAATCCATGTGGCGAATTACAAATTTTCTCTGTGTAGAAAAAACTGAAAATGGTTTTAGTATCTTTTTAACGAGACATTCTAGATAACAACTTTATAGGAAAAAAAGGCAGCTAAAATCCCCTAAACATTTTACGAGGTTTCATTTTGGGTCACCATTTGTGAATCACCCTCTGCAATAACCTTAAAACCTTTACACTTTCTGGTTTCGAACAAAATCTGCATAATTATATAAAATGTGTAAATAATGGCATTATCTAGTTGCATTCTTCCTTTGTCATATTCTGTTGTAAATTTTATTTTTTACATGTTAGTAATTTTTATTAGCTTGTGACGAAAGACGTAATTACACGATAAAAAGTAGTATGTAAAGTCCTTCGGTTGATTACTTTATAAATAAATTTCGTAGTCTCACATCGAATAAAATAGGAACTGTTATGACCTATCAAATAGAAAATTGAATACTTTTACTTGCGATTTTTAAAATTCAAGGTTGTTCATGATCAAAACTACTAGATTCCAATGTTAC